TCCAAAGCGACTTACAGTCATGCGTGCATAAATTTTTTTTTGTTTATGGGTGGTCCCGGGGATCGAACCCACTACCCTGGCGTTACAAGCGCCGCGCTCTACCAGCTGAGCTACAGAGGTACTGTCTAACAAGTAATACATTTTTTTAATCAAAAAGGTAGCGGTCAAAATGTACACCCCTGTTTTCAATACCTTTCAATAACTCACCTTGCGAGGATAACGGCACTGAACCTTTTTCTCAAATGTTTTATGAGATTGGAAAACACATTGGCAGGGATCTTAGACCGTTCCTCCATACAGAATCCTTCCAGATCCTTGATATCCTTCGCCTGCGCTTATAGACTGCCCACTTCAATTCAAACCCAGGTTTTCAATTGGTTTCAAGTCCAGCGACTGAGATGCAAAATGTTGATTATGTGGCCATTTAACCATTTCTTTGTGGATTTTGATTAGTGCTTGCGGTTATTGTCTTGCTGGAAGATCCACTTGCGTTTTCAGCCTCCTGGCAGAGGCAACCAGGTTTTTTGCAAAAATATCTTGATACTGGGTAAGGTTTATGATGCCATTGACCTTAACAAGGGCCACAGGACCAGTGGAAACAAAATAGCCCCATAACATCAAACACCATATTTTACAGTAGGTATGAGGTTATTTTCTGCTCATGCATTCTCATTTCGATGCCAAACCCACCACTGGTGGGCGTGGCCAAAGATATCTATTTTCATGTCATCTGACCAAAGCACCGGTTCCAATCCAAGTGCCAGTGCCGTTTAGCAAACTCCAGGCGTTTACATTTGTTGGATGACATGAAAATAGAGCGTTCGAAATAAGGACGCATAAACAGAAAATAAACCCACACATGGACTGTAAAATATGGTGGTGATAAAATATCAGTTATGGCTGTTTTCTAATTATCTGGCCGTTATCAGGGGATATTAACTGGTAATTCATCGAGGCATTGTGTGTGTTGGGTCATCATCATTAACAATTATGAAACTGAGCATATCAGTTTCAGTTCAGGCTACTATGACCAGTACCTGCCGCTACTAAATCTCCATGTATTGCTCTTTTTTCTTTCTTGTTTTTTAACCAATGCATAGCCTCCATATCAGATAAGGACAGGAAGGGAAAGGATCAGATAATTGGAGCTTAAAAGGAGACGTTTCACAGTCAGTCAGTCCAATTGTCCTGCCCCAGTTCTCTCTAGCGCTTTTACATTTTACATTTATATTTTAGTCATTTATCCAGAGCGATTAAAAAAAAAAAAAAATTCATAACGAAGTGTTTAATAACCGGACAGATTCTCACGGAGGAATAATCAGCGGAAGATGCACAGTCGCTCTCTCTCCATCTCTTTCTTATTCTCTCTCCATGTACTCTCTCTCTTACCCTCTCCCTCTCTATTTGTGAGTTGCTATCTCTTCTCTCTCTTCTCTCTCTTTCTCTCTATCTCTCTCTCACTTTTCCTTTGGTATTTCTTCCCCTCTCTCCTGTCCTGACCCTCCTGACTGAACAGGGACAGGTACTGAACAGGTACTGAACAGGGACAGGTACTGAAATGGTACTGAACAGGGACAGGTACTGGACAGGTCCTGCGACTGAACAGGGACAGGTACTGAACAGGAACTGAACTGGGACAGGTACTGAACAGGGACAGGTACTGAACAGGGACAGGTACTGAACAGGGACAGGTACTGAACAGGTACGGAACAGGGACAGGTACTGAACAGGGACAGGTACTGGACAGGTACGGAACAGGGACAGGTACTGAACAGGGACAGGTACTGGACAGGTACTGAACAGGGACAGGTACTGAACAGGAGCAGGGACTGAACAGGGACAGGTACTGGTGCAGTAAATCACTTTTATTTACATTTTGGGACATCATCCTCCCTAAAACAGATGAACAAATGAATGATTTCTTGATGATGATGTCCTCATCATGTGACATGATAATAAAACTGATGGGACTATAGGCTAAGATTTAGGCAGAATTATAAATGATATTTATTAAGCCTTTCGGATTGGTACTGAACACTCGTTTGTTTATCACTGGGTGCAGTGATGTAAATAGCCTTGCACAAGCCTTAGCAGCTCATAGGGCAGGAGCCTATCTCCTGCTTCTGTAGCGTGAGGCAGCTTGATGTACCCCCCCTGGACAGAACAGTAGTCTATCACAGGTCCTTACCCCCAATCTTTCTCCTTAATGCTATAGCTTGGAGTGCCAAATGGAGATGCACCAGGTCCCCTTTTTGGTATGACTCGGCCAGGGATTGAACTCACAACCTTCCAATCTCAGGGCGGACACTCTAACCACAAGGCCACGGAGTTGGCAGTGCGGTGATGTAGTGGTAGAAATATATGGGGGTAAACTCACCGGTCGCGGTGAAAAAAGTAACACTCCCAATACTTTCAATTAATTAAACTGCGTTTATTTGCATTTACCCTCCACTACACCACTGACTGTGAATTTAGAGGGAGGAACACTCAAGGTGTGCATCCCAAATGGCACCCTATTCCCTTTTAAGTGCACTACTTTTGACCAGACCTAGTGGGGAGCCATTTCAGACCAACCTTTTTTGTTCCGGGGACCACCAAACCACCATTAGCGGAGTCGCAGCATTTTTTTTACATAAAATATCTTAGCTGTCAATTTAAGAGTCAGTTTTATCAGATTAAATGCCTTTTGTAATGTAAAATTGCTTACAATATCATATACAGTTGAAGTCGGAAGTTTACATACACCTTAGCCAAATACATTTACCTCAGTTTTTCACAATTCCTGACATTTAATCCTAGTAACAATTCCCTGTCTTAGGTCAGTTAGGATCACCACTTTATTTTAAGAATGTGAAATGTCAGAATAATAGTAGAGATAATTATTTATTTTAGCTTTTATTTCTTTCATCACATTCCCAGTGGGTCAGAAGTTTACATACACTCAATTAGTATTTGGTAGCATTGCCTTTAAATTGTTTAACTTGGGTCAAATGTTTCGGGTAGCCTTCCACAAGCTTCCCACAATAAGTTGGATGAATTTTGGCCCATTCCTCCTGAATGAGCGGGTGTAACTGAGTCAGGTTTGTAGACATCCTTGCTCGCACACTCTTTTTCAGTTCTGCCCACACATTTTCTATAGGATTGAGGTGAGGGCTTTGTTATGGCCACTCCAATACCTTGACTTTGTTGTCCTTGTATGCTTGGGGTCATTGTCCATTTGGAAGACCCATTTGCGACCAAGCTTTAACTTCCTGACTGATGTCTTGAGATGTTGCTTCAATATATCCACATAATTTTCCTTCCTCATGATCCCATCTATTTTGTGAAGTGCACCAGTCCCTCCTGCAGCAAAGCACCCCCACAGCATGATGCTGCCACCCCCGTGCTTCACGGTTGGGATGGTGTTCTTCGGCTTGCAAGCCACCCCGTTTTTCCTCCAAACATAACGATGGTCATTATGGCCAAACAGTTCTATTTTTGTTTCATCAGACCAGAGGACATTTCTCCAAAAAGTACGATCTTTGTCCCCATGTGCAGTTGCAAACTGTAGTCTGGCTTTTTTATGGCGGTTTTTGAGCAGTGGCTTCTTCCTTGCTGAGCGGCCTTTCAGGTTATGTCGATATAGGACTCGTTTTACTGTGGATATAGATACTTTTATACCTGTTTCCTCCAGCATCTTCACAAGGTCCTTTTGCTGTTGTTCTGGGATTGATTTGCACTTTTCGCACCAAAGTACGTTCATCTCTAGGAGACAGAACGCGTCTCCTTCCTGAGCGGTATGACGGCTGCGTGGTCCCATGGTGTTTATACTTGCGTACTATTGTTTGTACAGATGAACGTGGTACCTTCAGCCGTTTGGAAATTGCTCCCAAGGATGAACCAGACTTGTGGAGATCTACAAAAAAAATTCTGAGGTCTTGGCTGATTTCTTTTGATTTTCCCATGATGTCAAGCAAAGAGGCACTGAGTTTGAAGGTAGACCTTGAAATACATCCACAGGTACACCTCCAATTGACTCAAATGATGTCAATTAGCCTATCAGAAGCTTCTAAAGCCATGACATCATTTTCTGGAATTTCCCAAGCTGTTTAAAGGCACAGTCAACTTAGTGTATGTAAACTTCTGACCCACTGGAATTGTGATACAGTGAATTATAAGTGAAATAATCTGTCTGTAAACAATTGTTGGAAAAATTACTTGTGTCATGCACAAAGTAAATGTCCTAACCGACTTGCCAAAACGATAGTTTGTTAACAAGAAATTTGTGGAGTGGTTGAAAAACAAGTTTTAATGACTCCAACTTAAGTGTATGTAAACTTCCGACTTCAACTGTATACTCCCAACTGTTATTATTTCTGGAGAAAAAAGTATAATCAAAACAAAACAAAATATCCAAAAAAAATGTCAGGCCACTGCTCTAAAGTAGGCAGGCGCTGTTTAAAGTCAATGGCTGGAAATGGCTGGAAATGGCTGGAAATGGCTGCCTTTTGAGTGCTTAATCATGTTGAAACACCACAATGTTCCCCTCTGATGAATGGAGGGTGATCCCCGCTCTATCCTCTCCTCTCACTCCTCTTCTCCTTTTTTCTATTTGCCTTGCCTCTCACCTCTCTCTCCCTCTCCCCTTTTCCTCTCCACTTTTCTCCTCTCCTCTCCTCAGCTCTTCTCCTCCTCTCCCTCTCCCAGACTGACTACAAAGCTTAGGTCCGCATTGCAGTCCTTTGCTGGATCTCAACAATATGCTGCAGGGCTTGTGTCATACACACTGAGCGTCAGACACACAATCAGACACACACACGATACCGTTCCACCTATTCTATTCCAGTCTTTACAATGAACCCGTCCTCCTATAGCTCCTCCCACCAGCCTCCTGTGTATCAAAGGTATAGCCAGCTACATGTGATATCGTCTTGAATGATTGATGACACTGTCTATAAGGCCGGGGTTCCCCTTCTAACTAATACAAATGCGATCTCTTGTGTTCTCTTTCTCTCTTTAAGTTTTTCCCCTACGGAGATGCATCAAAGTTTGCCCAGCATGCGTTCAGGACCTTTGATAAGAACGGGGACGGCACCATCGACTTCAGAGAGTTCATCTGTGCCCTGTCCATCACATCGCGAGGCAGCTTCGAACAGAAACTCAACTGGGCCTTCAACATGTACGACCTGGACGGAGACGGCAAGATCACACGGGTGGAGATGCTGGAGATCATCGAGGTAAAGTTCAGAGTTCAGCCCATAGAGATAAATCATGAATCATATGCTGAGAGCCAAATGGCACCCTGTTCTCTATGTAGTGCACTTTATAGGGAATAGGGTGACATTTAGGCCATTCATGTCATATGAGTATTGAGATATTAGTCATGGATATGAGTATCTCAAAAAATTACTTTTGTTCTCCAATTTACGGCCAGGGTTTACTCTTTACTAGGGCCGGGACAATACCAGGATCGCAATATTTTTTCCATGGCAAAAAATGAAAACACGAAGTGGACCGAACTCTTTGGTCCTTTAAAAACCTACTGTAAGTAAAACAATGTGTGCTATAGCTTGGAAAACAAATAAATGTGACTCTGGATGACAACATAATGATGTTTGTTTCCAACATTAGTGCTATTTTCCTAAAGAAGTTAAATCCTCTTCGTGTTTTGTTTCCTTGCCACGATACTAACGATTATCGTCATACTGGTATCGTCCCAGCCATACTCTTTACCTAATTCATTTTTGACATTTCCTCCTCTAGCCCCAAATGCCCTCTTAAGTAAACAATGACTGAACTATCATTTCTCCGCCTCTGTTAAGGCCATCTACAAGATGGTGGGGACTGTGATCATGATGAAGATGAACGAGGACGGCCTGACGCCCCAGCAGCGAGTGGACAAGATCTTCAGCAAGATGGACAAGAACAACGACGACCAGATATCACTGGACGAGTTCAAAGAGGCAGCAAAGAGTGACCCCTCCATTGTATTACTCCTGCAGTGTGACCTGCAGAAATAGAGGAGAGGGAGGCTTGAGAACCGCCACGGACTGCACAGAAGATTCATGTTCCATTCAGTTTGCAGCTATTTCCACTGAAAAAAAAATATGCTTGGACTACCTTTCAATGGATTTGCTTCTTGTGTTTGAAACACTTGTGTGCATGAGAATGTTTATTTGCTATAAAAGATTTACATAGACACACACACACACACCTACCGAGACACACCCCATGAAGATACACACGCATCACCACACACTCACTACATATTCACACCACGCACAAATATATATAGAGATATATAAATATAAATATTATATTTAAATTATTTAAAATCAACTGCCAAAATGTGAAGTGTGAAATGTATTTCCCATAGATACAGTCTCATTCCACTGGAGCTTGAGCATCAGTGATGTGCTATGTTGAATTACGCTACTACTTATTGTTCTGAGTTTACTAACACTAGCTACGTGTTTCATATATTGAGTAATGTCAACCAAACCAAATTCCTATGGTAATGTAACTGTTTCTGATAAACCATATATCCATTCTTATAAAATATTTGATTTGGATAGATGAAGAGATGGATTAGTAGCCTATTCATCAAACACTTTCCCTTCCAAACGTGCTTGTACTGTTGGTGAAAATAAATGTTGGTAATTTGCATGCCTTTAGGTTTTGCCTTAAAAATGATCTCCTCATTTTGCATTCTATAAGAATAGTGAAGACAAAGCCTTATCAATTAAATGCAGTTAAACAGTTAAACATAAAATATAATAATAATTGAATAGGAAAAATCATATTACGGTATAGATCCTTCTACAAGTATTGATGTATGGGATGTATTTTTGGTGTTTCGTCAATAGTTTATTTTTGACTGCCGTACCTGAGGGAGCATGTACCTTGTAGATAATAATAGTTATGTTGCTAAAAAAATCCCTGTTGCACCCCTATTTAGAACCTACCATCTCTTGAGCCCATTTTGAATGAGGAGATATTGAATGAGGAGATATTGAATGAGGAGATATTGAATGTGGCATATTTAACAACGACAAAACCAATAGTCTGGAATAATACAACAAAAATGTTGGTCTAAAATAAATTAAATAAATTGAAATAAAACCATCAGTATTGTCTGGGGAATTATACCCTGTGAGTCATAACCAATGAGAGGTTGTAATATAAAAAGCTATCTGAAAATTAACTCAGCCCTTTAACAATGAAGAGGTTTTAAGTGTATTTTATCCTACCTACTATTGGTCCAATTAGTTTTAGTCCTATGTCATCACACCATTTCTTCAATGAAGATACAGGTTGCATATCAATGTGCTGAATTCAATGAAGTTCCTGTCATGGGTTTATTAATAACACTCATCGGTGTAAAGAACTAAATAACTAAGGCCAGTATAACACTGTGTTAGACATCAATTATTATCACCTCATACTGTTTGTCTCTCTCAGTTTAAAAATGAGTGTAAAAAAAAGAGCAATGTGTTGAAGGAACTAGTGAATGCCATTCCTTATGAACCAAGCCAAAAGGACTAAACCCCTTAAGCCATGTGTTTTGGTAGGCTATACAGTTTGCCCAAAGTGTACCCAAAGATACGCTGCTCTTTATTGATAAACTTTTTCAACTTTTTTATTCCTCTATCACATACTGCATACAAATTGTATAGTAGCTCCTTCCTTTTCAGGTGCAGTGTATCCTGTCATCCACGCAAGACAACAGCTTGGAAATAGCCTCAGACCCCTAGCCTGGTCCCAGATTGGTTTGTGCGGTCTTACAACTCCTATGGGTCATTGTAACAGCACAACATAGGAGTTGGCAAGACGGCACAAACAGATCTGGGACCAGGCTTTAAGACCCCAGCCTGACTGGATAATATTAAATAATTCCCCTGTACATATTAGTTTAAAGATTGCAGACCCTGCTTGTATAACTCACTATTACAATTTGGTAACTAACTACCCATTTTGTTTCACATGCCATCTGCACATTTGGGAGGAGTTATTTGAATCATATTCATATTCAAATTGACTGCGATGCCAAGACCAAATCCATCACGATTCCTCAAGTGATTAGGCTGACAGTTTGTAATCTAAAACTTTACATGAACATCTTTGCCCAGAAATGTTTGTACTTAAAAAAACTATTATTATTATCATCAGATACCAAATGTAAACAATGGCAACCATGTAAACTAAATGATTATTTTGTACATGTAGCATGTATTGTGTCCCTGATGACATGGCTGCACTACTCCTTGTGTTGTGATTTAAACTAATAAAATAACTATGGGCTGTTTTCTGAAGGTGTGAATTAGAATCAGATTGCACATAATGACAGTAACTATACTAGATTTATTTTATTTAACCTTTAACTAGGCAAGTCAGTTAAGAACAAATTCTTATTTAAAACGACGGCCTACCCTGGCCAAACCCGGACGACTCTGGGCCAATTGCGCGCCGCACAATTGAGGGGGGTTGTGACAGTATGCAGTACTGCATATAAACCCACAATCTGTATAGTTGTGTTCTTGATATTAGAATAAGCAGGCAAACCAATGGTAGAGGTTGTCTTCTTGAGGATGTCTTGGGTATAGATCTACCACTCTCCAGAATGTCTCAAATCAAATCTTATTTGTCACATGCACCGAATACAACAGGTGTAGACCTTACAGTGAAATGCTTACTTACAAGCACTTAACCAACAATGCAGTTAAGGAAAATAAGTTAAGTAAAAAATAATTAAAGAGCAGCAGTAGTGAGGCTACATACAGGGGGTACCGGTACAGAGTCAATGTGCAGGGGCACAGGTTAGTCGAGGTAAGTAGCAAATGCAAGTTGAACTGGCCCAGTGACAAATATGTTGTTAGTCATGATACAAAGCTATGTGAAAAGAAAGCAGGCTGACTGGACTGTGCAATACTGACTGAAAATATCCCTGGTTCAGGATAGTGTGAAAGACCCTGCACATTGCGTATGTAGAATTAAATAGAGCTGCAGGCAGTCCTGTGTGCCTGTCTATGAGTGACCATGACCTATGTCTCTACTTTGACCTGGGCTGGAACATACACTACTGTTGACCTTTATGGGGTCAGCAAGAGGACAGCGCTATAACAGAAGTGCATTCATGCAAGACGTATGGCCAGCAGCTTTTATAAAAGGACCATTTATTTTATAGAAAATACAAACTTATTTGACAGAATCTAAAAACTAAAAAGTGAATTTGTATGAATTACTGTTTTTTTATGCATATGTTTACATCAAACTGCAGAAGATTTTTCCATAGAGATTGTATGTGTTCAATATGCACACCAAAGAGACATACCAAAACTAAAATAAAACAACAAAGACTGTCAAAGGCTGTAAAATGCAACCTCTATCACATAGCAATCAGTAGAAAAATACCCATATGCTAGGGATTTATCCCAAAAATTGACCCTAATATACTTGATAATCAAGACATTACCCAATTACAAAACACAAATCAGTTAACTTTAGCAATTGGACAATTTAAGATTATCTACAAATGTGTTATTTTTTTTTCAACAAAAAAACATTGATGTAAATACACATTTCAGGAGACAAGAGTCCTACAAGCAAACATTATTGGCTTACATCAAGCAAGAGGTGAATTTGTACAGATGTCAAAATGTACATTCTGTGCCAAAGGGGGAAGAGGGGAGACTATTTTGGGGGATCTGTGTTGATGCCATATTTCTCCTTCAGAAGCTTCAGCTGCTCCTCTTTCTTCTTGGTGTCCATCTTCTGGAATGCCTGTGAGACAAACAGTGGAATGAAAATCATGAGTTATGGATGTTTAACCGCAAAACTTTACACGGTTTACACGTGACACAACCAGAGAAAGGTCGACCTGTCAGATAAATAAAAAAAATGAACACATTGATTACAACATTTACCTCAAATTAGTGCCTTAAAAAGGTAGAGTCAGTGACGAACAAAGTAAACAGAAATATCGGGCCGACTTCCGCAACAACTAAAAGTGCGAAGCGCGAGGCTAAACTTCTTCACTGTTTTGGTCCCGCAGCTATCACACGTTGCAGCAGAGTGAGGCACATCCGTGTACATGTGCAGATCCTCTGTGTGTTGTCTTGCATCGCGCTCATCTGCAATATCTGTGGTTCATCCAGTTGCTCGCAGCAGCATAATATTGCTGAGTCTCAGTTTAATAAAAATAAGCAGTTTGACTCTCTTCCTCCAGACCCCTAGAGGGTCAAATGTAATGTACCAGCATTGACTAATGCCAACACCAGGGCTCACCAACCATGTTCCTGGAAAGCTACCCTCCTGTCGGTTTTCGCTGAAACCAGCTAATTATTAGAATCAGGTGCGCTCGATTATGGTTGGAATGAAAACCTTCAGGAGGGTAGCTCTCCGGGAAGAGGGTTGGTGAGCCCTGGCCTACACTGTTTGTTCAGTATGTAATTTCTCTATGTGCAAAGCTATGAAAGTTATTAGTCCCTTTGAGAAGATTGATCAACAATGGTTAGAGGAGACTTTGTCAGATCCTTGATTGATGAGATTATAGGCCTACGTACCCTGTTTGCATTGTAGTATAAAACTACAAGATATCTGTTGCAGACGTTGAATCCAGAAAGGTGATCGCAGGCGTTCTTGGCATCAAAGATGTCCTCGTAGACCACATAAGCTGTCCCTCTTGATTCCGGTGTGTTTCCACTGAAAAACAGGGCACAAGAATACATACATTTAGACAAGACAACGATGAGACTTTGTGGTTGAATACCTGCCACAGTTCTGCAGACTAGCCTACACACAAGGAGATGATACATAAACTCTGTAAACTACATCACCCATGGTATAAGTGAGCATTTCATCCAGATCAACAATCTTCCACTTACGTTCGAATCTGCCGTATTGGTCCATATTTCCCAAAGATGTCGTACATTTCTTCAGCTGTGATCTTGTATGGTAGATTTCTAATGTAGAGTATTCTGTTGACTTCAGGTGGTAATCGAATCTGCATAGGAAACAGCATTTGCAACTGATAAGCTCCATTTATTTATAACCAAATAACATAAAACGAGTATAAACTCTGACAAGTTGTGTAAACAGTACATGATCAAGCTAAGTAATGTTAGTTACGTAGTTGCATTATCCCAGAAACCCTAGACCCACTCCAATTTGCATACCACCCCAACAGATCCACAGATGATGCAATCTCTATTGCACTCCACACTGCCCTTTCCCACCTGGACAAGAGGAACACCTACGTGAGAATGCTATTCATTGACTACAGCTCAGCATTCAACACCATAGTGCCCTCAAAGCTCATCACTAAGCTAAGGATCCTGGGACAAAACACCTCCCTCTGCAACTGGATCCTGGACTTCCTGACGGGCCGCCCCCAGGTGGTAAGGGTAGGTAACAACACATCTGCCACACTGATCCTCAACACGGGGGCCCCTCAGGGGTGCGTGCTCAGTCCCCTCCTGTACTCCCTGTTCACCCATGACTGCATGGCCAGGCACAACTCCAACACCATCATTAAGTTTGCAGACGACACAACAGTGGTAGGCCTGATCACCGACAACGAGGAGACAGCCTATAGGGAGGAGGTCAGAGACCTGGCCGTGTGGTGCCAGGATAACAACCTCTCCCTCCCTCCCCAAGACAAAGGAGATGATTGTGGACTACAGGAAAAGGAGGACCGAGCATGCCCCCATTCCCATCGAAGGGGCTGTAGCGGAGCAGGTTGAGAGCTTCAAGTTCCTTGGTGTCCACATCACCAACAAACTATCATGGTCCAAACACACCAAGACAGTCGTGAAGAGGGCACGACAAAGCCTATTCCCCCTCAGGAGACTGAAAAGATTTGGCATGGGTCCTCAGATCCTCAAAAAATTATACAGCTGCACCATCGAGAGCATCCTGACTGGTTGCATCACCGCCTGGTATGGCAACTGCTTGGCCTCCGACTGCAAGGCACTACAGAGGGTAGTGCGTACGGCCCAGTACATCACTGGGGCCAAGCTTCCTGCCATCCAGGACCTCTATACCAGGCGGTGTCAGAGGAAGGCCCTCAAATTTGTCAAAGACTCCAGCCACCCTAGTCATAGACTGTTCTCTCTGCTACCGCACGGCAAGCGGTACCGGAGTGCCAAGTCTAGGTCCAAAAGACTTCTCAACAGCTTCTACCCCCAAGCCATAAGACTCCTGAATGGCTAATCATGGCTACCGGACTATTTGCACTGCCCCCCCCACCCCATCCTTTTACGCTGCTGCTACTCTGTTAATTATTTATGCATAGTCACTTTAACTCTACCCACATGTACATATTACTTCAACTACCTCAACTAGCCGGTGCCCCGCACATTGACTCTGCACCGGTACCCCCCCTGTATATATAGCCTCCCTACTGTTATTTTATTTTACTTCTGCTCTTTTTTTCTCAACACTTTTTTTGTTGTTGTTTTATTTTTACTTTTTTGTTAAAAATAAATGCACTGTTGGTTAAGGGCTGTAAGTAAGCATTTCACTGTAATGTCTGCACCTGTTGTATTCGGCGCATGTGGCCAATTTTTTTTCATTTGAAAGCTAAAATGTAAATGTAATGTAATGAAAGCAACTTAGCTAGCTAGCTTGAGTGAAAATAATTAACTAGCCATCTAACGTTAACATTTCCCCACAGCTTAATGGTGTTTTATATGTACGTCTTAATATAATAATGCTAACGATAAAGAATATATTGTACATGTGTGAAATAGGTCAAATACAAGCACCCACCAAATTATTATTATTAAATCGATAAAGCCAATGTCTTTAGCTTAGCATGACAGTACCTAGTTAGCGAGCTAGCTTCCAACTAACGTACCCCACTAGCTATAAACAAAACCTGACTAGGTTGATTAGCTATAGCTATCATTTGAACCCGAAAACATGATACATGTGAACTTACATTAGCTCGTTTAGCTGCTTGCATAGCCATGATTATATATTTTGTGTACAAAATGCGCTAAGAAAAAAATATGCAAACCGCTTTCGTCGTCGACAACACACAGACGCAGATTTCTTTTAGCGTATTTCCGATTCCAGACGATCCAATTCCGGTTACGTCATTTAGGGATAACGTGAAATGTTAATTCAATTCAATTCAATTTCAGTCATTAAAGTCTCCATAGACTGTATTTCTAAATCTTCATTTCATATTTATCCTCAAGCCTTTTTTATTTTTTATTATTTATCCACAAGCCTGTGTTTGATGATGAAAGGCATACACTGCACTCATGTGAGAAGTGAATTGAATTGTAGCAATATCTCAATGTAATACACTATGTAGTACACTCCCACAATATTGCTTTCACCTATTCAGATCAACTTTGGAGATGAGGGGAGTGCAAACGTATTACTTTTATTATTACGTGTTTTACTTTTCTATTATTTATCTATTTTCTTTCTCTGCATTGTTGGGAAGGGCCGTATGTAAGCATTTCACTGTTAGTCTACACCTGTTGTTTACGAAGCATGTGACGAATAAAATTTGATTTGAAAACAAAGGCTTATGTGTTGGGGCCTTGCCTTGTAATTCAGGGTCAAACTCAAGCCCCTCTGCCTGCAATGAGGATGAGGTGTCTTTATGCAGTGCCTCTTGATAATAAAACTGTTATGCAAAGACCTGTCAAAGATGGTTTGCTGTGGACCAGTCTTTGTAGTGTGGGTACCAGTCTTTCTAGCTAATATTCCACTCCTTTACACTCCTGTAATTTGCCAAATTTAGGAGTGGCAAGGGGTGGAACTTAATAGCTGAACAGAGACGGCAACCAGGCTATCTTCTTTGGTCCTAGAACCCAGATCATCATGACCCCCTCAAAGAATGTAGGCTAAATGTATTTGACCTTTCGATCTTTCATTATCATTTGTCTATATAAGTAACCTATGTTTTCCATCCGACAACATTCATATTTTTGGGGACATAATTTTTGTGGATTTGTGTAGGGCATAGGCTCTTTCTCAATGTGCAGGCAGGGAAAGCTAAATATACAGATGATCATAAAACTCGTTATCTGTACTTTGATGATACCACTGCTCCCCGAAAAATAGAAGCCAAGTGCAAACATATTTTTTTGCCTTGCAATTTTTGCATTCGGTCACTCACTCCACTTTCTGCAAAAGAAGCTTGCTAGTTGCATACAACATCGGCATCTTCAAAGCATAGTATTACTTTCCCTGCCTTCAAATTACCAACAGTTTCAAATGTAGCTATAGCCTATTGATAAGCGGAATTGTATTTAATTTACACAACAATACTAGCTTCAGAACGTTGATTACGTGAGTAACGTCGTTATTCCTTTTGAGAACGAGAAGTCTCCCGCCATGGCGCGACACCTAGCTAGTTAGAGAACGCAACTAACGTTAGCCAGCGAGTTAATTAATTGAGGAAAGTTTCTAAAGTGCCTTTTCTGCCCTTTTTGAAGAGACGTCGTTGATCAGCGCTGGAAGGACAACTATTTGCAAAGCAAGGGTGAGTAGCTAGCTACTACTGATAATTATTTAGACGTGGACGATGAATCCTAAATTCATCTAGCTACTGTTAGTTAGCCAACTTCTTTTGACTTCGGCTTGCCTTTCTTTAGCTAATGTCGTCTTTTGCGCACTGCTCCGGCTAGCTTCGTTGCATTTTAGCCAAGCTAACGTTATCAAACTAGCTACTATAGTTACTGTACTTTAGTCGTTTGTGTGGGTTGTCAGCTAACACCGGTCATTTTAACTGTGCAATTGTGTAGTTAACGGGTTTTTACTGAATTTGGTTCATTCATTCATGTTCATAGATCGCTATTGAGATGGCTACTCAGCTAGCTATCCGAACTGGTTCGATAGCCAGTTGCATTGGCCATGTGCTGCAATTCCTGCTGTTCTGTAGAAAGCTAGCTAGTAGTTAGAGCACCGCCTTTCAGGTTTGGTGTTTTAAAATAGTATACTACATGTTACTGCACGATAAACACATTTGACCGACAACTATTGTTGTGATTGTGAACCCATAATGGCAAAAAGACATGTCAACTTGTTGGAGTCGAATAAGAATACTATCCATTACCATTTTAACCCACATGGTGGCAGTAACGTCAAAGTTGATAGTGACTTCATGGAAAGGAAGACCCGGACAGACTGAGATTGATGGTATCATAACATTTTATTGGTTGGCTACTGCTATTTTGACTATGTACAAAGGTGTTTGGAAGATATGTCTTTTGTAGCATTTGCCTGCTTTGTTACATTATTTAAATGTCTGTAAACTAGGCCCAAATGAGTGGTTTGCTCATTGGAAGGGTTATTATCGAATGTGTATGATGTTCCTAGAGAGTCGGCTAATGGGAATTATTTGAAAAGATTGCCTAGGTTATAGGGTAAGGTAAGCTACAGTATATCAAGATTGTGAATTCCACTATATTTCTCTAGTACAGGGATCATCAACTAGATTAAGTCACTGGCTGAATTTCTTTTTTTCTTGAGCAGATGGTCAGGGGCCCAGAACATAATTACAAATCATTTGTAGATTGCAACAAGCCCAAACAGGTAAAACAATTGACTATAACTATAATAATTTCAAACCTTGTTAACATTTGTATAAGATCACATACACTGAGTAAACAAAACATTAGGAAAACCTTCCTAATATGGAGTTGCACCCCCTTTTGCCCTCAGAACAGTCTCAATTCATCAGGGCATGGACTCTACAAGGTGTCGAAAGCCTTCCACAGGGATGCTGGCCCATGTTCACTCCAATTCTTCCCACAGTTGTCAAGTTGGCTGGTGGACCATTCTTGATACACACGGGAAACTGTTGAGCGTGAAAAACCCAGCAGCGTCGCAGTTGTTGACATACTCAAACCGGTGCACCTGGCATCTTCTACCATACTGTTCAAAGGCACTTAAATATTTTCTTGCCCATTCACCCTCTGAACAGCACACACACAATCCATGTCTCAAGGCTTTAAAATCCTTCTTTAACCTGTCTCCTCCCTTTCATCTACAGTGATAGTAGTGGATTTAACAAGTGACATCAATAAGGGATCATGGCTTTCACCTGGTCAGTTTGTCATGTAAAGAGCAGGTGTCCTTAATGTTTTGTACACTCAGTGTATATCTCTAGTATGTGAGGGAATGCTTTGGAACAGACTTCCAAAATTGTAATCACTTGGAGCTGATTTGCTGGTGTTTTTACAGTCTTATGTCCAACAATAAATAAAAAGCCCACAACTTGGGAGGCCAAATAAAATCAGTTGGGGAACCCTGCTCAAGTACAGCCAATAGGAAAAGTTTCATGGCTTCTGTATCTACTTTGAAAAATGTATTGCTGCTGCTGTCATTTCACAGGTTTTCTTTCCTTATAAAATCAACTGGTCAGTGTAACATTGCGGGTGAAGACTGCACAAGGTCATGTCAATACAATACATGAATGTTGAATGTTCATATCTCCTGTGTGATTGAGGTTGACGTAGGAATTGCAGTAAAAAAAATGAGTAATTGCTTAGGCCTACTTCACAAATCTCGCTGGATGTTGAATTCCCTTGATATGCCAAAGTGGCAAATCAAATTTTATTTGTCACATACACGTGTTTAGCAGATGTTATTGCGGGTGTAGCGAAATGCTTGTGCTTCTAGCTCCGACAGTGCAGTATCTAACAATTTCACAACATATACACACAAATCTAGTAAGGAATGGAATTTAAGAATACATATATGGACAAGCAATGACAGAGCGGCATGGACTAAGATACAGTAGAATATTATAGAATACAGTATATACATATGAGATTAGTAGTGCAAGATATGTAAACATTATTAAAGTGACTAGTGTTCCATTTCTTAAAGTGGCCAGTGATTTCAATAGGCAGCAGCAGCAACCTCTAATGTGCTATTGATGGCTATTTAACAGTCTGATGGCCTTGAGATAGAAGCTGTTTTTCATTCTCTCGGTCCCAGCTTTGATGCACCTGTACTGACCTCGCCTTCTGGATGATAGCGGGGTGAACAGGCAGTGGCTCAGGTGGTTGATGATCTTTTTGGCCTTCCTGTGACATCGGGTGCTGTAGGTGTCTTGGAGGGCAGGTTGTTTGCCCCCGATAATGCATTCGGTAGACCGCACCACCCTCTGGAGAGCCCTGCAGTTGCGGGCGGTGCAGTTGCCGTACCAGGCGGTGATACAGCCCGACAGGATGCTCTCAATTGTGCATCTGTAAAAGTTTGTCAGGGCTTTAGGTGCCAAGCGAAATGTCTTCAGCCTCCTGAGGTTGAAGAGGCTCAGTTGCACCTTCTTCACCACATTGTCTGCGTGGGTGGACCATTTCAGTTTGTCAGTGACGTGTACGCCAAGGAACTTGAAGCTTTCCACCTTCTCCACTGCGGTCCCGTCGATGTGGATAGGGGGTGCACCCTCTGCTGTTTCTTGAAGTCCACGATCATCTCCTTTGTTTTGTTTGACGTTGAGTGAGAGGTTATTTTCCTGGCACCACACTCCCAGAGCCCTCACCTCCTACCTGTAGGCGGTCTCGTCATTGTTGGTAATCAAGCCTACTACTGTTGTCGTCTGCAAACTTGATGATTGAGTTGGAGGCGTGCTTGGCCACGCAGTCATGGGTGAACAGGGAGTACAGGAGGGGGCTGAGCACGCACCCTTGTGGGGCCCCAGTGTTGAGGATCAGCGAAGTGGAGATGTTGTTTCCTACCTCCACTACCTGGGGGCGGCCCGTCAGGAAGTCCAGGACCCAGTTGCACAGGGCGGGGTTCAGACCCAGGGCCTCGAGCTTAATGATGAGCTTGGAGGGTACTATGTTGTTGAATGCTGAAGTATAGTCAATGAACAGCATTCTTACATAGGTATTCCTCTTGTCCAGATGGGATAGGGCAGTCCAGTCCAGATGGGATAGGGCAATCTTATCTTACATTAGTGCATAATCAGTTTAAATACAGTTAGGTCCATATTTATTGGCACCCTTGATAAAGATGAGCAAAAAAGACTGTCTAATACAATTACTGAGCTATATTGTATGCTCAGAAAATGTAGAAGTTATATTGTGTAATAATACAATTGCCCTGAGAAAGAGATTTTGTTTAACAAGTAAAACAAATCTAAAAAAGATAGGGGTCAAAATTATTGGCACCCCTGTTTTCAATACTCTAGCACCCTCCCCTAACGGCACTGAGCCTTTTTCTCAAATGTTTTGAGATTGGAGAACACGTTGGGAGGGATCTTAGACCATTCCTCCATAATCTTTCCAGATCCTTGATATCCTTTGTCTGCCCTTATGGACTGCCCTCTTCAATTCAAACCACAGGTTTTCAATGTGGTTCAAGTCCAGAGACTGAAATTAACAATTTCTTTGTGGATTTGGATTAGTGCTTGGGGTTATTGTCTTGCTGGAATATCCACTTGCAGCCAAGTGTCAGCCTCCTGGCAGAGGCAACCAGGTTTTTGGCTAAAATGTCCTGGTATTTAGTAAAGTTCTGATGCCGTTGACCTTAACAAGGGCACACCAGTGGTGGGCTTGGCGTTGAAAAACAGAAGCATATGCAGAAAAGTACCTCATACCTACACGGTAGTGCATCTTTGATGTTATGGAACTATTTTGCTTCCACTGGTCCTGGGGCCCTTGTTAAGGTCAAAGGCATCATTAACTTTATTTTACCCAGGACAAGGTGAGGTATTGAAAACAGGGTTTTTATTCCCCGAACCATTGTGCAGTGCCCTAATGTAAACCATGCACCTTCTTGGCAAAATTCAGATGGGCCTATTGTATTTAATTGACCGTTTTTATTAAATGATCAGTCGGTGTATTGAGTAGTTTTAGAAAAGTTTAGGAGAGAACTGATTAGTTCTTGTTAAACAATTTTGATACATGGTGCGCTATTCAATCAACCTGGTAAGGAGCGATCAATAACACTGTTCATTTGATGCATTCTACTAGTAGCCTACTCAACAATATTTTATCTGGTAATTCGTAATGCGATAGCACATGCACTGACTCAAGTTGTCTACTCAACCAAACAATGTTATCGGTATGAAACAAATCAACTCGGCTATGATTATAATATGTATTCCCACAGTACATTACGTTATTTTCTACCATTCCTTTAACACCAGTTACTGGTTTTGATTGAATAGTACAATAAAACTTAAAGAAGTTTGCTTTTTACAACCAAATCTCTATCTTTGGTGTAAATGGCATGTTATAGAAGGGTCCAAACACTTTTTTTTTTTTTTGCCATTTCACTTGTTTTTGAGAATCTTACCCCAACCAGTGAGTCAGCAGATAGCTTAGCGGTTAGCATGTTGGGCCAGAAATCCCCGAGCCGACAAGGTGCAAAATCTGTCTGTGCCCTAATTGATCCAGGGTCACTATTGATAATGGCAGATCCTGGCCGTGACCCCACTCTCCACCAAATCACACATGCATGTAATGCACACTTGTACATTTGTGAAATAGGACAAATATAAGCACCCACCTTATTATAATTATTTTATAATTATTACTTCCTCATCCTCGTTGTGCAGTACGGGGGCTCTGAAAAAACCCATGAACAAATGCTCCAAAAACACCCAAATATGTTATTTTTGAAACAGAAAAGCTCTCAGGATAGTGATGCAGGTCTTTAGACATATGAAATTATCATTCCAAACTTTATCCGCAAGGTTATATTCGATTTTATGCAACTCAAACTGCATTGGTTCATGTTTTTTTCAGAGCCCCATACGACACAACGAGGATGAGGAAGTGACTCGCCGGTTGGGGTAAGTTTCTCAAAAACAAGTGAAATCGCCAAAAAAAGTGTCTGGACCTTTCCTATAAGATATCATGTACATAAAAAGTTGAGATTTGGTAAAAAGTAAAAAAAAAAGCTACATTCTCCTTCAATGTTCCCGAAGTGAAGGGACTATTATTTACTAAGTATTTGTTACTTTTTTTAATCAAACCTCAGTTATCAAAGTTTCTCAATGACACTGTGTCCAAAATACTGAATTTAATCCACTGACTTCTTTTCTTAGACTCATTGGACCTTGACATTTAGGCTTTGTTGGATGGACATTGATAGTTGATGGAAGACAGAATACTTTGAAAACGTCAAAATGTGTTCAATCCCTGGGCTCCCAACACCAGGTTCAAACATTTCAGTTCTTATAACAAGGGTGAACTGCAGTCCCCAGTGTGATATTGTGGAGCTTTGGGGCAATTTTGATCAAGAGAGAAAAATTGCTTATCAACGCCTGCGAAAAGACATTCAGTTTCCCAGAGAAACTTTTCGTGAATTGGAGGGAAATCCTGGAGATGTGTGCTTGGTTCAGATATATGAAACTTGGTATAGGGTACGCATAGTCTCAAGAAATGGCTCAAGTTACAATGTGTTCCTTATTGACGAAGGGAGAATTCTTGGTGCCACCACTAGCATGTTGGCTTGGGGTCAGAAAGAGTTTTTCCACCTACCCCCTGAAGTGGAATTCTGTGTTCTCTCTAATGTGTTGCCCCTGTCACCCGAGAACAGGTGGTCTCCAGTGGCCTTAGAATTTCTGAAGTCCCTCTGCGGAAAGACGGTTGATGCATGTGTCCAGGACATCTTGGTGCCCCATAGAACGTTCCTCCTGAATGTTCCCTGCATATCTAGACAGATGCACGAAATGGGGTTTGCCAAGAAGCTGAGCACCGAAAAGTTCAAGCTCTACGTTTCAAAGTCATTGCAGAGTGGGGCATCAAATTCTACAGGATCTCCACAGAAGTCATCCATGAGAAATGACCCACTGGAGACCCGTGAGCAAATTGAGAAGCAGCACCAGTACATGTATCCAGAGCTGCAAACGGAAACCGTAGAGACAGTCATTGTCACGGAGGTAACCAACCCACTGCGCGTCTTCTGTCAGTTGAAGGTGTTTTCTCAAGAGTTGAAGAAACTAACGGAGCAGATTACACAACACTACGAAGGCCGTGTGGAAACGGGCATCGCCAGACCCGAAACGTTGGGTTCCCCATGTGCCTCAAGAGGAAGTGACGGAAGGTGGTATCGGTCTATGTTACAACAGGTCTTTCCAGACAATAATGTGGTTGAAGTGCTGCATGTTGACTATGGGAAGAAACAGTTTGTCCAAGCAGAGAACATCAGACCACTGGCCACAGAGTTCTTCAGGATGCCTGTTGTCACATATGTCTGCTCTCTCCACGGCGTCATCGACAAAGGCGTTGGATGGACGGCTGCCCAGATTAAATATTTGAAATCCCTACTTCTGAACAGGACTGTGATCGCCAAGTTCGAGTACCAGAGTCTGTCAGAGGGAGTCCACTACGTAACACTCTATGGGGATGAAAACACAAACATCAACAACCTGTTTAGCACAAAGGAGAGATGTCTGCTGGACTCAAAGTCGCATGGAGATTATGCTGTTCGCAACAACCGTGCGAGTCCTCCACATCCAGATGGAATCAAATGTCAGGAAACTGCACCACCTCGCTCTGAAGATCCCAAGGAAGTTCAGGCAAAGTATCCTGCCGAAGATCTCCCTCTGAATTCTTCACACGTGGCAGTTGTACAACATGTGGAGAACCCTTCAGAATTCTGGATTCATACACAGATATATGCAGATGCGTTTAATCAAATGATGGATGATCTTGCTGATTTGTACAGCAACCCGGTCAGTGTGGGAGTCGTCGAATGTCCAAAAGTTGGCCTTTATTGTGCTGCCAGATCACAAGACAACACTTTTTACAGGGCGACTGTCTCTGAAGTCACTGGGAACAAGGTCAGGGTCTTCTTTTTTGACTACGGAAACACAGAGATGATTGACTGGTTCAATCTCGGAGTCCTTCCTGACAAGTTTAAAGAGTTGCCAGCACTTGCACTGAAGTGTAGACTGGCCGGTATTAGACCAAAAGATGAGAAATGGAGCCAAAATGCTACAGACTTCTTCACGAAATCAATTGCAGACAAGATCCTGGATGTACGCATAACTGCAAAGTCTCACGGTACTTACATTGTTCAACTGACGGACTCATCTGCACATGGAGAGCGAGATGTCAGTAAGCTGCTTTGCAGTGCTGGCTTTGCAGAGAAGGGCGACACAAGTAAGACAACTCACAAGGCCTCTTTAGGGCCTATCATCGCCCCCACAACACAGAACCCACGTGCCATTCCTTATGTGTTCAAGGCAAGCGGTGGCCCTCAAGGATCGTCCACCAGTGATTCCACTGTCAATGAGTCCAGAACTGCCTTCAAGGAATACCTGTTTCCAATAGGAAGTTCAGTTGAAGTCACAGTGTCTTACATTGAGAGTCCAAATGACTTTTGGTGCCAACTAGCACAAAATTCTAATCATCTAAAATGTCTCATGCAAGACATTCAGCAGCACTATGCTGACACTGAGTTTGGGCAGCCTGTGGAACCTGCCTGTGTTGCCCGCCACCCAGACAACGGAATGTGGTACAGAGCCCTGGTCATTCAGAAGCATGCAACACTGCACGTTGATGTGCTGTTCATAGACTATGGTCAGACAAAGACAGTCTCCCTGCAAGACTTGCGCCGCATAGATCCAAACTTCCTGCAACTAAAAGGTCAAGCTTTTCGTTGCAGCTTGTACAACCTCATCCACCCTACTTCTCACACCACTGAATGGACTGAAGATGCCATTAGACAGTTCCAGGACTTTGTGGACACCGCAGCGTCCGACCATGGGGTCTTAAAGTGCACCATATATGCAGTAATGTACGATGCCCAGAAAGTGGTATTCAATGTGGTGGATCTGGAAACACCCTTTCAGAGTGTCTGCAGCTTGATGGTTAAGAAAGGACTGGCAAACCGTGCACCTGCCAAGAAAGCCCCTTCCTCCCCTTTCCGGTTGGACACCTACTACTACTCCACTCACAACATCAAAACGGGGAGTGAAGAAGAGGTCAGTGTGACAAGTGTGAAAAATGTAAATCACTTCTACTGCCAGCTGAAAAGGAATGCAGATACAGTTGAAGGACTTGCAGAGAGCATCAACACGCTGTGTCGCCAGTTGGAGATCACCAACTGTCCCCAAACATTTGGAACTGTGTGCTTTGCGAAATACAGGGATGGAGAGTGGTACAGAGGGCAGATCAAGTCTACAAAGCCAACAATCCTGGTACACTTTGTGGATTATGGCGACACATTGGAAGTAAATAAATCAGATCTGCTTCCCATTCCCATTGAGGCCAGTGAGATCATGTCTGTGCCTGTACAAGCTGTCCAATGTGGGCTTTCTGATATCCCCGGAGAGGTTACAAGTGAGGTGAACGGCTGGTTTGAGACCAGTATGACTGACCGGAACTTCAGGGCTCTTGTGGTGGCAAAAGAACCTGGGGGCAAGTTGCTGGTGGAGCTCTATGACAGGAAAATGCAAGTGAACGCAAAGATAAAGGAGAAGTTCAACCTTGAGATGCACAGACAAGAGCGGGTGGTACACCAGAGCAGGAGACCACGTGATGCATCCAGCAGCCACATCTCAGCTCTTGAGACCAAACCTCGGTCTACACCTAAAGAGGTGCTCCAAAAAACAGACGAGGACACCCAAAAGTGTGAGAAACTCCCTCGAGCACCCTACAGGACACCACATCAAAAACGGGCACAGCAAAAGGAGATTGTAGTTCCCAAAGCAAAGGTGAAAGATCTTCCAAAACTCACAGACCTGCCCTCAAAATCCATAAAACCAGGCATGGTAGCAGATGTCTTTGTCTCACATTGCAATAGTCCACAGAGTTTCTTTGTACAGTTGATCAAGGAGGAAGACGACATTTATTCCATTGTGGAAAAACTCAATGATGAACAGTCAACTGCTGCAACCATTCACACTAAGGACTTGAGTCAAGGAGACCTGGTCAATGCAGAGTTTCCAGATGATTCGTCATGGTACCGTGCAGTTGTAAGTGAAATACTGGGAAACGAAATGGCTCTTGTTGAGTTCATAGACTTTGGAAATACAGCAACAGTTTCAGTCTCCAAGATATGTCGACTCGACAAACACTTCCTTGAAATTCCCAGGTTCAGCATTCACTGCTTCCTAAGTGGAGTGACAGCTGTCGAAAACCAAGCAGAACTGGATCCGGAAGTTGTGTCTAACTTCAAAGAGAACGTTGGTGTAAACGGCAACAAACGGTTAGGGTGCATGTTCATGAAACACTCTGGATCTTTTTGGGAGGTTGGCCTAGTGCACGGCAGCAAAGCAATCACATGCAACATACCTCCCAGCGGCCCAACAGCCTCTTCTGATGTGATACCTAAGACATCAGAAAGCACCAACCAAGAGGCAGAAGAGCCCCAACAAAGCCCTTCTGCAAGAAGTGTTCCACCAGAGATGAGCACTTTGGTCAATGTCAAGACTGCTCGTTACAGTAAGCCTGACATTTCAGAGGGACAGACCTTAGAAGTCTATGCCTCTATTATAAATGGGCCTCAGTCCTTTTGGTGTCAATCTGCTGAATCAGACGAACTTGAAAAGATCACTGAAGTTGTTAAAGATGCTGCGAATGCTGTGGCATCTACGTTAATTGACACTGAAACCCTGTGCACTGGAAGCCCTTGCATTGCTCTATTTGTGGATGATGAACAGTGGTACCGTGCAGAAGTCCTCAGGAAAGATGGAGATGCCCTATCCATTCTCTTTGTGGACTATGGAAATGAGTCTACAGTCAATCTGAAAGATGTGAGGCCAGTGCCAACTCTGCTCATTGACACACCCCCACAGGCGTTCCAGTGTCAGCTTGAAGGGTTTGATTTTTCACAAGGCTCCTGGCATGACACTGCTGCTGACCAGTTATCAAAACTCATAAAAGACAAGCTTCTACACCTGACAGTTCTGAGAGTATCCAGTCAAGAGCGGGGTGGGATCACATGTTTCCTCAAGGTGAAATGCGAGGAAGAAGTGATAAATGACACTATGAAGCTGTACTGGCAGAGCTCTGTTGACAGAGAAACGTCTGAAGACGAAGACAAGTCCGATCCTACAGGAGTTGCAATGTCAGGTGACACGCCTTCATTGTTAGGTGAATTGAAGTTGGCTGAGGAAAAGGCAACAGTGCCCAACTCAAGTCCCGAAGAGCCATATGAAAACGTCAGCGAGCACGACACATACGATGCTTTGGCCCATAGTGAAACTCATGAGTTAGTGGATGAGGACAAATGCACAGACATTTCTGATGAGCAACAGGACAACTCAGTACCCACCCAAGCAACAGATGAAGATCACGCCGAGGACGTGGATCTGATAAGTTTCCAAGAAGATGCAGACTGTTTTGATCACCTTGGCAACACAGAGTCAATTGACGATGACGGAGAGGAAGAAAAACAGTCGGACACAAATGAGATCCAAGAACCCAGGACCGTCATACGTGGTCCGAGTGTAAAGATACCCAACGATGGGAAAGAGACTAAGTCCATTCCCACCATCATCATCTGTGAGGAACCCAGTGATGCAGGACTTGAATGTGTCTCAGAGAGTGGAGATTCATGTGAGGCTCAAGCGGCAACCTCCCAAGTGAACAACGACAAAGACATCTTGGTTTCAAGGGCTAAAATGGACACATTGGAAGTGGACAAAGACGAAAGTGGGAGTGTATCAGTACTGGAAAAAGCCTTCAGTCTGGATGACTCAGAATCACGACTGTACTTAGACGAAAACTTTGACGAGACTTCTCTTTCAAACTTCGACCAAGGTCAAGACGACATCTATGAGGAAGTCTTCAAACTGTGTGCTGAGCTTGTCGTCGAGAGTGCAAAGTCGGAACATCCTGTCCCAGAGGAGTCCAAGACGAAAGATGAGGAACTGGAGACCTTGGCTGTGGAGTTGGAGACCAAAAAAGAGGAATCTGGAATCAGAGATGAGGTCAACAACTCTGCTGTTGTACCTGAATCTGGTGAGTTCTACACATTAAACAACTATTTGAAATGTGCATGTTTTTCCATCAAATTGTAGTACTTATTACATGTAACATTTTTGTCATTTAGCAGACACTCTTATCCAGAGCGACTTGCAGTAGAGTACATACATTTTTCGTACTTTCTGGTCCGTATTAAATTGGTACTTGTACACTGCATGTGTTTGTTTAATATTAAAAGGTTGTGCTTTTTGTTTTTGTCTGTTTCAGAGTTTGGTCAACTTCAGAGAGTTGAGCAGACTGTTCCAGTTGGGTCATCCTGTATCGTTTGGTCCTCTGCTAAGAAGAGTTGGTGTAAAGCAAAGATTTTGAAAGTCTTTGAGGACTCCGTAAAGGTAAGCAAGCACCCCCTGTGTTTTAAAACCACCAACTGATGTGTGAGACGTATCACTGCTAAATCTGCATGTATTTGTATCTGAAATATAACCCTGAGCTGTTATCTAAATAATTTTTTGAAATGCTAGGTTCTACTGCTGGATCACGGCACTGAAATGATAGTAGACCCACACAATATATTTGAGCTGTTGTCTTCAGAACCAGAAGAGGTTTGTAACAAGGAATGTTTCTCCCGCCATCTTCGTATGATTTCCTATAGAGCTAATGGCGTTTATAACTTCATTGTGATGTTTGTTAATCTGAGCATCATATGTTTACAGTTTGAATTTGACCAGAGCGATGACTTCGATACAGCATCATCGAATGCTGGGTCAGAGCATGGTAAGCATGTCTCAGATCTCTTAAAGATGCAGTGTTTTGATATGACTCACAGGATGACTGTCTTCATACAGAACACAGTGACTTAAGTGTCTTGCACTATTTTGGAGTCTTATCTGAGGTTTGCTAACATACAGATCACGAAGACACAGATGACAGTGACAACACCACTGCAGGAGATGATCTGAGCAAGACTGCCTCAGAGGTAGGTGTAATTGTAATCTTTTTGTATCGATTCTGTGCATTTTCCCAGTAAAAAATAAATAAAAACGAGCCATTGTAAAATAATGTTCTTTTAAAGGGCTTTATGGTGGATCTCGACACTGAGATTGTAGATACGTGCAGAAATGTTGTTGTGGTGTCTGCAAAACCAGAGCATGGTTTGTAACAAGACCCAAAAGATCCACAGATGATGCAATCTCTATTGCACTCCACACTGCCCTTTCCCACCTGGACAAGAGGAACACCTACGTGAGAATGCTATTCATTGACTACAGCTCAGCATTCAACACCATAGTGCCCTCAAAGCTCATCACTAAGCTAAGGATCCTGGGACTAAACACCTCCCTCTGCAACTGGATCCTGGACTTCCTGACGGGCCGCCCCCAGGTGGTAAGGGTAGGTAACAACACATCTGCCACACTGATCCTCAACACGGGGGCCCCTCAGGGGTGCATGCTCAGTCCCCTCGTGAACTCCCTGTTCACCCATGACTGCATGGCCAGGCACGACTCCAACACCATCATTAAGTTTGCCGACGACACAACAGTGGTAGGCCTGATCACCGACAACGATGAGACAGCCTATAGGGAGGAGGTCAGAGACCTGGCCGTGTGGTGCCAGGATAACAACCTCTCCCTCAACGTGACCAAGACAAAGGAGATGATTGTGGACTATAGGAAAAAAAAAGAGGACTGAGCACGCCCCATTCTCATCGACGGGGCTGTAGTGGAACATGTTGAGAGCTTCAAGTTCCTTGGTGTCCACATCACCAACGAACTATCATGGTCCAAACACACCAAGACAGTCGTGAAGAGGGCACGACAAAGCCTATTCCCCCTCAGGAGACTGAAAAGATTCGGCATGGGTCCTCAGATCCTCAAAAAAGTCTACAGCTGCACCATCAAGAGCATCCTGACTGGTTGCATCACCGCCTGGTATGGCAACTGCTTGGCTTCCGACCGCAAGGCACTACAGAGGGTAGTGCGTACGGCCCAGTACATCACTGGGGCCAAGCTTCCTACCATCCAGGACCTCTATACCAGGCGGTGTCAGAGGAAGGCCCTCAAAATTGTCAAAGACTCCAGCCACCCTGGTCATAGACTGTTCTCTCTGCTACCGCACAGCAAGCGGTACCGGAGTGCCAAGTCTAGGTCCAAAAGACTTCTCAACAGCTTCTACCCCCAAGCCATAAGACTCCTGAACAGCTAATCATGGCTACCCGGACTATTTGCACTGCCCCCCCACCCCATCTTTTTACGCTGCTGCTACTCTGTTAATTATTTATGCATAGTCACTTTAACTCTACCCACATGTACATATTACTTCAACTACCTCAACTAGCCGGTGCCCCGCACATTGACTCTGCACCGGTACCCCCCCTGTATATATAGACTCCCTACTGTTATTTTATTTTACTTCTGCTCTTTTTTTTCTCAACAATTTTTTGTTTTATTTTACTTTTTTATTAAAAATAAATGCACTGTTGGTTGCACTGTAATGTCTGCACCTGTTGTATTCGGCGCATGTGGCCAATAAAATTTGATTTGAATTGAGATGTTAACACATTGGTTTTCCCTTTTTTCCCCCTCTCCTATTACTCACATTAAAACTCCTGCATGCTCTATCGCAGGTCCGGGATGACTCCACTCTAGCTGTGTGTGCACCAGTGGAGGAATCTAGTGGTGAGTGGTATTTCATAATTCTGTAGATAATAGATTGTTAAAACCTAATGCAGTTCATGACACGCAGCAAGGAGTGTGTTATGTTGATTCTCATTCTTAATTTATGACGGTATACTGAAGACACGTGACAGTGGAACATCGCTACTCATCTAGCTTGATGTGTTGTTGTCTACCTTCTTGCCCTTTGTGCTGTTGTCTGTGCCCAATAATGTCTGTACCATGTCTTGTGCTGCTACCATGTTGTGCTGCTACTATGTTGTTTTCATGTTGGGTTGCTACCTTGCTGTGTTGTCGTGTGTTGCTGCCATGCTATATTGTTGTCTTAGGTCTCTCTTTATGTAGTGTTGTTGTGTCTCTCTTGTTGTGATGCGTGTTTGGTCCTATATTTAGATATTTTACATCCCAGCCCCCTGGTCCCCACAGGAGGCCTTTTGCCTTTTGGTAGGCCGTCATTGTAAATAAGAATTTGGTCTTAACTGACTTGCCTAGTTAAATAAAGGTTAAATAAAAAATATATATACCTTACGAGAGCCCATTTGACAGGTTTAGCCAAATGCAAAAACAAAAAAGGACTGTTTATGAAAATGATCAATGCCCTTGCAGACGTGCTTACAGAACAGCTAGTTGATATTGAACCAGCAACTGATGCAGAGGTTGTATCCAGTGCTCCCACACAGGATAAGGTAAGAGAGGTTGGTTGTAATAAGTGACATTCACATTGTCTTCATCAAACGGAACTATGAATACTCTTAATATTTGGTTACATTTTAGGATGATGTCGTGCTTGAGGAAGACGCCTCGTGTCTTGGAGAAGTGACTTCATGTCTCATTGAAGGCTGTTTAGGTATGTGATCACATCTGATTTGATTGGTGTCAGCCAAATCCATACAGGGACAAATGCACTCTTGTTTGTTGATTTATTTAAATGATCAACGTAAATATCCTTTACAGTTGCAACCACAGATGATGGCGCTGAGATCAAGAAAGCAACCTATGCAGATGTTGTATCAAGTGCTCCCCCGCAGGAAAAGGTAAGCAGTGTTTCAGTAGAGAGGAGGAGTTGCATAGTTTTTTATTTGTATCCCCTTTGATTGGGACCCTTATGATATTCTGTTCATTTTTAGGATGATCTTCTAGGGGAAGCAAAGTCTAGTCCTGATGAAGACTATTTAGGTTTGTGATGACATTTCATGGATTCATAGAATGTCTGCATGTAGTGAGAATATGAAACCTTTTGGTATATTTCAGGCTGTAGTATTTCTGTGTAGTTATTGATGTCCGTTGCCAATGTAAATGCCTTTTGTAGTGTCCACAGAACAGAGAGCTGATGCTCAAGAGGCAACCGATGTGAAGGTTAAATCCAGTGCTCCCACACAGGACAAGGTAACAGAACTCTACAAATCAAATTCTATTCGTCATGTACACAGTTTACAGCAGGTATAAAACGTGCAGTGAAGTGCTTGTGTGCTAGCTCCCTCAACAATGCAGTACAATAATCATATTGGAGCAAAAGGACATTCGTGAAAAACCAAATAACTTCACAGATCTTCATTGTAAAGGGTTTAAACACTGTTTCCCATGCTTGTTCAATGAACCATAAACAATTAATGAATATGCACCTGTGGAATGGTCGTTAAGACACTAACAGCTTATAGACGGTTGGCAATTAAGGTCACAGTTATGAAAACTTAGGACACAAAAGAGGCCTTTCTACTGACTCTGAAAAACACCAAAAGAAAGATGCCCAGGGTCCCTGCTCATCTGCGTGAACGTGCCTTAGGCATGCTGCAAGGAGGCATGAGGACTGCAGATGTGGCCAGGGCCATAAATTGCAATGTCCGTACTGTGAGACGCCTAAGACAGCGCTACAGGGAGACAGGACGGACAGCTGATCGTCCTCGCAGTGGCAGACCACGTGTAACAACACCTGCACAGGATCGGTACATCCGAACATCACACCTGCAGGACAGGTACAGGATGGCAACAACAACTGCCCGAGTTACACCAGGAACGCACAATCCTCCATCAGTGCTCAGACTGTCCGCAATAGGCTGAGAGAGGCTGGACTGAGGGCTTGTAGGCCTGTTGTAAGGTAGGTCCTCACCAGACATCACCGGCAACAACGTCGCCTATGGGCACAAACCCACCGTCGCTGGACCAGACAGGACTGGCAAAAGGTGCTCTTCACTGACGAATCACGTTTTTTGTCTCACCAGGGGTGATGGTCGGATTCGCGTTTATCGTCAAAGAAATGATCGTTACACAGAGGCCTGTACTCTGGAGCGGGATCGATTTGGAGGTGGAGGGTCCGTCATGGTCTGGGGCGGTGTGTCACATCATCATCGGACTGAGCTTGTCATTGCAGGCAATCTCAACGCTGTGCGTTACAGGGAAGACATCCTCCTCCCTCATGTGGTACCCTTCCTGCAGGCTCATCCTGACATGACCCTCCAGCATGACAATGCCACCAGCCATACTGCTCGTTCTGTGCGTGATTTCCTGCAAGACAGAATGCCAGTGTTCTGCAATGGCCAGCGAAGAGCCCGGATCTCATTCCCATTGAGCACGTCTGGGACCTGTTAGATCGGAGGGTGAGGGCTAGGGCCATTCTCCCCCAGAAATGTCCGGGAACTTGCAGGTGCCTTGATGGAAGAGTGGGGTAACATCTCACAGCAAGAACTGGCAAATCTGGTGCAGTTCGTGAGGAGGAGATGCACTGCAGTACTTAATGCAGCTGGTGGCCACACCAGATACTGACTGTTACTCTTGATTTTGACCCCCCTTTGTTCAGGGACACATTATTCAATTTCTGTTAGTCACATGTCTGTGGAATTTGTTCAGTTTATGTCTCAGTTGTTGAATCTTGTTATGTTCATACAAATATTTACACATGTTAAGTTTGCTGAAAATAAACACAGTTGACAGTGAGAGGACGTTTCTTTTTTTGCTGAGTTTATATACAATAATAAAGTTATTTGAGCTGAAGTAGAAGGGAATCATTTTTGTTTTCTGCAACAAACAAACTTTGACACTAATAATATTCTATGCCATTATAGGATGATCTGCTCTGTCCTGACGAAGACTGTTCAGGTATAAGATCATACCCTGTGGATCCCAAAAATGATAACTGGCTGATTGGGAGAATTGGAAACCTTTGGGCATATTGCAGGCTTACCTCTTGAATATCAGGGGACATATTGCAGGCTTACCTCTTGAATATCAGGGGACATATTGCAGGCTTACCTCTTGAATATCAGGGGACATATTTGTCACTCTTTCTCTTTACACTCTACACAAGACTTCCAACACTGCCTCTGCCGTCTGAAGACATTTTCAGGCGACTTCTCAATTGTGGGATTTATGTATTGTTTAGTGTCTTGTTGATGTGAATTGTCCGTGTAAATGTATTTTGTGTTGTAGATTCTGCAGAAGGGTTTGCTGAGATTGACGAGGCGACCGATATGGAGGTTGTATCCAGTGTTCCTACACAGGACAAGGGAACAGAACTGTTGAGTAAAATCTTCACAGTGAGTACATTAACATGCACACTAATAATCAGAAATTAAACCGATTATGGCAGTAGGCAGAATATGCATGTAAACGCCTTACTCTGCTTATCTTAATCGCTGTAAGGTCAAAATCAAAGTTAGCATATGTCGATTTAAAATACCTGGTTTTCTGAATTGTTAATACATGTAAAGACCTTAATCGGCGTTCCAGTAGTGTATTTGATCTGCGCATGTGCTAGCAGCAGCCAAGTGAGCCTCCCTCTTTAGCGCGAGTAGAAGTGCGTTGTGTCTCATACTGAATGTATGCGGCTTAGTTTTAACATACAGTGAGGGGAAAAAAGTATTTGATCCCCTGCTGATTTTGTAAGTTTGCCTACTGACAAAGAAATTATCAGTCTATAATTTTAATGGTAGGTTTATTTGAACAGTGAGAGACAGAATAACAACAAAATAATCCAGAAAAACGCATGTCAAAAATTTTATAAATTGATTTGCATTTTAATGAGGGAAATAAGTATTTGACCCCCTCTCAATCAGAAAGGTTTCTGGCTCCTAGGTGTCTTTTATACAGGTAACGACCTGAGATTAGGAGCACACTCTTAAAGGGAGTGCTCCTAATCTCAGCGTGTTACCTGTATAAAAGACACCTGTCCACAGAAGCAATCAATCAATCAGATTCCAAACTCTCCACCATGGCCAAGACCAAAGAGCTCTCCAAGGATTTCAGGGACAAGATTGTAGACCTACACAAGGCTGAAATGGGCTACAAAACCATCGCCAAGCAGCTTGGTGAGAAGGTGACAACAGTTGGTGCGATTATTCGCAAATGGAAGAAACACAAAAGAACTGTCAATCTCCCTCGGCCTGGGGCTCCATGCAAGATCTCACCTCGTGGAGTTGCAATGATCATGAGAACGGTGAGGAGTCAGCCCAGAACTACACGGGAGGATCTTGTCAATGATCTCAAGGCAGCTGGGACCATAGTCACCAAGAAAACAATTGGTAACACACTACGCCGTGAAGGACTGAAATCCTGCAGCACCCGCAAGGTCCCCCTGCTCAAGAAAGCACATATACAGGCCCGTCTGAAGTTTGCCAATGAACATCTGAATGATTCAGAGGAGAACTGGGTGAAAGTGTTGTGGTCAGATGAGACCAAAATGGAGCTCTTTGGCATCAACTCAACTCGCCGTGTTTGGAGGAGGAGGAATGCTGCCTATGACCCCAAGAACACCATCCCCGCCGTCAAACATGGAGGTGGAAACATTATGCTTTGGGGGTGTTTTTCTTCTAAGGGGACAGGACAATTTCACCGCATCAAAGGGACGATGGACGGGGCCATGTACCGTCAAATCTTGTTTGAGAACCTCCTTCCCTCAGCCAGGGAATTGAAAATAGGTCGTGGATGGGTATTCTAGCATGACAATGACCCAAAACACACGGCCAAGGCAACAAAGGAGTGGCTCAAGAAGAAGCACATTAAGGTCCTGGAGTGGCCTAGCCAGTCTCCAGACCTTAATCCCATAGAAAATCTGTGGAGGGAGCTGAAGGTTCGAGTTGCCAAACATTAGGCTCGAAACCTTTAATGACTTGGAGAAGATCTGCAAAGAGAAGTGGGACAAAATCCCTCCTGAGATTTGTGCAAACCTGGTGGCCAACTACAAGAAACGTCTGACCTCTGTGATTGCCAACAAGGGTTTTGCCACCAAGTACTAAGTCATGTTTTGCAGAGGGGTCAAATACTTATTTCCCTCATTTAAATTGCAAATCAATTAATAAAAAAATTTACATCTGTTTTTCTGGATTTTTTTGTTGATATTCTGTCTCTCACTGTTCAAATAAACCTACCATTTAAAATTATAGACTGATCATGTCTTTGTCAGTGGGCAAACGTACAAAATCAGCAGGGGATCAAATACTTTTTTCCCTCACTGTACAAACTTTATATGTCCAAACTCGGAATCAAATATGCTTCCCAAAAATAACATGTTCACTGTGGTAGAACCACTTATTTTGAGTAGTGATTTTTTTGCATTTATCGGAGTGCCATCAGGTAGCCTGATTTCATGTAAACAGGATTATTAGGGAAATCATTATTCTTGCAAAGCATGCAAACGTTATAATCAAACTATTATAAAAATCTGACTATCCACAATAATCACATTATTGTGTGCATGTAACTGCACTCATTGTCTGCAAACTTTGAATGACACTAATGATATTCTATTCAATTTAAGAATGATGATGTGCAGCTTGAGGAAAATGCATCTGTTCCTGGCGAAGACTCTGCAGGTATGTGTTCATATCTTCGGGATCCATAGTTACTAGTTGGTCAATAATACTGTCTGAGAACACAGGCCAATGATGAAGGGATATGACTTTTTTTGATTCATTTCTGACACTCCTCCTTTGGTATTTTATTAGGATCCCCATTGGCTGTTGCGAAAGCAGCAGCTACTCTTCCTGGGGTCCACACAGAACATGAAACATGACATAATAAAGAACATTAATAGACAAGAACTGCTCAAGGACAGAACTACATCAATTTAAAAATGGCACACATAGCCTACATATCAATACATACACACAATATCTAGGTCCAATATGGGAGAGGCGCTGTGCCGTGAGGTGTTGCTTTATCATATTTTTTAAAACCAGGTTTGCTGTTCATTTGAGCAATATGAGATGGGAGTTCCTTGCAATAATGGCTCTATATAATACTGTACGCTTTTGGGGACTGTGAAAAGACCCCTGGTGGCATGTCTGGTGGGGTAAGTGTGTGTCAGAGCTGTGTGTAAGTTGACTATGCAAACAATTTGGAATTTTCAACACATTGTTTCTTATAAAAATAAGTGATGCAGTCAGTCTCTCCTCAACTCTTAGCAAAGAGAGACTGGCATGCATAGTATTAATATTAGCCCTCTGATTACAATGAAGAGCAAGACGTGCCGCTCTGTTCTGGGCCAGCTGCAGCTTAAGATCTTTCCTTGCAGCACTCGACCACACGACTGGACAATAATCAAGATAAGACAAAACTAGAGCCTGCAGGACTTGCTTTTTGGAGTGCGGTTTCATAAAAGCAGAGCATCTCTTTATTAGGGACAGACCTCACCCCATTTTTACAACCATTGAATATATGTTTTGACCATGACAGTTTACAATCTACGGTAACACCAAGAAATGTAGTCTCCTTAACTTGTTCAACAGCCACAAAATTCATTACCAGATTCAACTGAGGTCTAGAATTTAGGGAATTATTTCTACCAAATACAATGCTCTTAGTTTTAGAGATGTTCAGGACCAGTTTATTACTGGCCACCAATTCCAAAACTGACTGCAACTCCTTGTTAAGGGTTTCAGTGATTTCATTAGCTGTGGTTGCTGATGCGTATATGGTTGAATCATCAGCATACATGGACACACATGCTTTGTTTAATGCCAGTGGTAGGTCATTGGTAAAAGTAGGAAAGAGTAGAGAGCTCAGTGAAATGATCTACCATTCATAACCAGGAAAAATAGGATATTAGTTTATCTGATTTTCTCATCACATCCTTGCCCCCACCTTTCTCCCATACAGAAGTTGTGATGTCACAGGTGACTCATCTCAGCCTGAGAGTGGAGGAGAACTCTGACGATGACGTAATCTTTGTGTCAGAGACTCGGACCACCTAGGAACTGCAGGAGCAGTAGCCAAATAAGAAGCCAGTCCAGTGACTAGTGTGTTGTTGTGCAGGCACACACTCGGTTCTAATCCATGTTATAATCTGGGACGTTAAATGAATCTGTTCAGTGACAATTTGTTGTCGGTTCAGTGGCATTTTGTTTGCATTTGCATTCTGTGTCCAGTTTATTTGGTAATTTGCTTTGCTTTTTCCTTTGTTATTTAGCTGTAAACACCCATCTTCACCTCATGTGGCTCAAGTTAGCCATTTGTCTCTAGATCAGAAATGCCTCAGAGGGTATACTACAAAGCAGGTTCAACGAGTTAGCCAGCTAACTTTGATAAGCAACCAGAAATGACTATTGATTTTCTGGAATATTAAATAAAGCTAAACTTTGATGTTTTAGTTGGCTGAATCAATTAGCCCATGCCAAGTATTTAGGCAAGTTAGCTGGCTAACTCCTTAATCCTGCTATGCAGTATACCACTCTGTGCTTGTCAATTTTTCAGAACTATTTGGTGCTATGGACAATCTTTAAAATACCATGACACTGTCTTTTGGATGGTTGTTGAGACATGTTTAATCAGTATTCTTAACAGAACTCTTTCATCCAGTGTCTTTGTATCAGCCTAGTGCATTTATTGAATACTGCACAATTGATCTATGTTCAAAATGTTTTTGTAGTATGTTTAGTTTTTGTAATTTTGCCAATGTTTCCAAAAACAAAGTTCTATATATTTCCATATTCAATTGTTGACGTTTAAAAATCGGACACACTTTTTGGCCATATTCAATGTGAAAGGCTTTCACAAGATGGTTGTTCCTGGAAGAAAAAAATGTCGAAATGTGCAGTGATGAATTTTTTTTGTTTACACAATACATAATCTTGCACTTCCTTCCACAAGTTGTTTTCTTTGTCCTACCAGCAGCTATGATAGTTTTTATCTTGTCACATCGCTATGTCCTCCGCAGTCTAGTGTCAATGCTGTTTGCATTCTTTGATGACATTCCAGAACATTACTACATAGAGATGGTTCATAATCTTCACAGGACCTTATGATCATATTTCTCAGAACAGAATTGTTGATGATCAAGGACTCAAAGAAATACTCATAGTATCCATCATTTATAGTTGTATACAATTCAGATGCATTGGATTACAGTAGTGTACAAATGAAAATATTTCAGACTGATTAATGTATTGAAACACATGGAAATGAAGTATAGAAGAAAAGCTGTTACATTTGAGTGATCCAGGGCTGTATTTGTTTGGGCACACAAAGTTTTGCAACAGAAAACTGAAAGGAGTGTTCCTCATTGTTCAGGTTGTTTTAGTGAGTTTTCTTCCGTTTAGTGCCTAATGAATAGGACCCAGGAGGATGGAAATACAGGTAGATTAAGGCACATGGCATATTTATGGATCTGGTTCAAAGGAATCAAACATCTCATCCTTTACTTGTGACCTAATATTGTCATCAATTTGTTATTCTTGTTGTGTCTTTTAAAGTAGTATACTGCTACGTTCTCTCAATCTATTCTGTGCAATCACGCTAGATACATAAATACCAAATAATCAAAGTCCTAAATTAACCATCTAGGGGTCACTATATTTCCAAAGCCTCCTGCCTTAACAAAATTGACTTAATATCCCATACAGGTGTAAAATGTTATACCACACAACCATAATTAGTTCAGGTACAAAGATACTGATGAGTGCAGTGTTCCTGCAAAACCGTAAACCCTGTTTAGCTCGACATTACTTGGAGATACAGTATACCTCCTCTCCAAGCAATCATCATTTGGTACTGGTAAAGACTGACTGTAGTAGAAATTGCTGTGCATCAATTTGACACATCCATGATTGAAACAACATTCAAGGCTCAGAGCAACAAGTATTGGCACGTTGCGTTAGTGGAATTGGCTGGAAACCATACATCCCTCTGTGTGTAAGGTCCATAGTTCAGATAGAACTGAACTAAGATATTTCAGTGACATTGGTGCCTGGAATGAGGTTGTGGTCCTTGCCCTCTATTAGATGGTCCCATTGATTGAAGTCTTTATCTAAACCTGCAAAACAAAGGCAAACCTGTTTGACACATTCCCCACACAAGGAAATGGCTTTGCGTTCTCTGTTTTATCAAATTAAAACTATTCAAAGGAAAAAAGCTCCCGCACACAGAATGAACATGTCCAATGCACCTGTTGAAGCAACCAACACTCAAATTAACTACATACAGATTCTTACCTAGATGTCTCTGCAGGAACGCTAGCGATGCTCTATTACAGAGATCGATGCCGACCTGAGGGTCGAGCTCTCCTTTCAGCTTCAGGATCTTCCCTATCCAGTTGCCAGTCAGGAAGGTGAAATCTGGGAAGCTCTGGTGAACGGTTCCCCTGTGGGGAAAAAGAGTATAGAAGATTACTCGAGTGTCCATTGTCATTTTCAGATCAAATAAATAAAAACATTCTTAACCCAACCCCCTGAGAAACACACACTGAGAAGCTGGATGCCAGGGTCAGCTACATAATATTTTATATATATTTTTTTATGTCATGATGTGCTCCTCACATACCAATTGAGGCAACTGTGTGTTCTCTTGTGCACAACTCAACTGAACCAAAGAGTTGGCTTAGCCAACAACGTCACAAAAACGATGTGCACGCTTTCATGGGGCAGTGTTGTGATTCTGGATGGCCAGATTGCTCGCAAGAATGACAGTGGCTTGTTTCATCTTGTTCTTGATACCTTGTCTTGTTTTGACTGACTTCATGTCAATGCTAATATGGCTAATCAAAAGGGAACCATTGCGCTAAATGGCTAAAATTCAGTAGCTAGCTAACCAACAACTGTAACGATGTATTTGAGAATGTGCACATTTATGTTTTCAATAAACATTGGAGATGAAAGATAACTTACATGTTGTCAACAAATTAAGCCAACCGTGTCTTTTAACCCATAGTTGCGCACGGATCGTTTTTGTTGCTAAACAACCAAACAGTCTATAGGTGTGGAAAACGAATCTACTAATCTATCATCTTTCACATTGTCATCTCTGTAACAGTGAATGTATACTCTTTCCATACTTGATGGTGATCATTTTCCTCTGCATGGAGGTGGAGGAGGAGTCCAGTTTCCTCATGCGACTGATGTTCCCGGCCCACTGGAACTTCTCAGAGTTGATGAAGAAGATGGGCTGCTTTACCCTGACATAGATCTCTTCATCCAGGGGGAACATCCACGCGTCCAGGGCAATGCCACACCTGAGGAGATCAACAGAATATACAAATAATATTGTTGTGAGTTCGGGGGGTATCCCCAACCAGGACCCGAACCTGGGTCCAGCAACTGTCAACCCAACATCTTATCTGTTACGCCAAGAGATCTGAACCGCTTGATAAGATCGCTAGGTATTATGTTATGGTTGCTACAATATTATAATATGGTAATTTAGCAAGAGAGATAGGTACGTCTCTGTGCTTGGTAAAGATATGAGGGGGGGCGACATGACCTCCTCCTTAGGACCATCTGGCAGAACGCCCAGAATATGTTCTATAAGTTAAGATAGGAGACGGTGCCAGACACATGCAGGAACCAACCCTATGAACCATGCAAATATAACTTGTCTGTGTAAGTAGTAAATAAGATAACTAACAGGACTGCCCCGGCAGAGCTCACTTCAGACCGGTACTTTATGCATCTTAATTTGACTGTGACCTCTCCAGCTTGCTGTTAATAACAATGATTCATTTAAGATTGACTTCAGGTGTTCCTGGTGGTAATTTCCACGACATAGTGTTGAATTTCCACGACAGGGGACTGGTCTGCAACATTACATTGAGGGTTAAGAAACAATGATTTAGTAGATATTTGTATCCAAAGAGACTGACTGTATAGTGTGTATTATTTTCAGTATAAAATATGGGACTGTGGGGGAATCAAACTCACAACTCTGGTGTTTTATCATGTTACTATTTTATTTTTATCTATTTGTTAATTTTCTTACTTTTTAACTGCATTGTTGGGAAAAGGCTTGTAAGTAATTCACGGTAAAGTCTACACAAATACAACTTTATTTGATTTGATTCAAGCACCATGTTCCAAGGAAACCTTTTGAACCATCTCATCTTAATGTGCCATTTGATTACATTGATTAGACTTTAGTAGAGGGAGGAAAATGTAATGCAAATTTGAAAACTGAAACGACTGTTTGAATGTGACGAAATTGAGAGGGGTAGCTCTTACTTGAAGTTGACGTCTTTGCAGAGGGCTTCGATCACTGTTGCTCCCCCGAAAGAATGGCCCATCACCGCTATCCGGCACAAGTCCATAGAGTTCTGGGAAAGTGGGGAGATACAGGGTGATGTCATTCATTACCAGTAACACCAGATATGATTCAAACAGCAGACAAGTAATCGTACTAAAAGTTTGAACACGAGTTGACTGAATATTAATGGAACGTTCAACCAACATGCACAACTTGTAGGGCCTGTTTATTATCCAATGTGGAGGAATATGTCAAAACAGTTATCAAAAACTGTCATTCAACAAATGAAAAACAGGTGGTCTTGTTTCTGCTGTTTCCTCCACATAAAGGGTTCAAGTGGTGTTGTGAAAAGGCTGATTGTTGTCTAAAAGCAGTGTATTTAGCCATTCGCAGCAGCAGAGAACACAAAAGGGTTCAAAAGCCGCTGGTCACTGATTGTTTCATTTGAGACATAAAATATTCACCTCCAAAGTCGTCCAGTCAAAATCTGTCTGAAGCACGTTCTCCATCTTTTTTCCTGAGTTGATTTGGATGAGTGTATCCAAAGCCTTTATGCACTCGTCAGCTCGCTGTTTCACCTAGAAATAGACAGTTCAATATTATACTTAGTTCTCAAACACATGAAATGGTCTTCCTAACAGAATGCAATGTACATTTGGAGTTATATGTCCTGTGTGGCTCAGTTGGTAGAACAAGGGAGATGCAACGCCAGGGTTGTGGGTTTGATTCCCACAGGGGACCAGTATGAAAATGTATGCACTCACTACTGTTAGTCACTCTGGATAAGAGCATCTGCTAAATGACTAAAATTTAAATATATAATACAAATGCAATATTCCATGTTATGGCAGTAGTGGTATCACAGTCATAAAACAAATGTATGACTCAAATGTAGGGTCCTGAGGAATGGCTCAGACAAACAGATAAAGAAGTCTACACATTACACTGTATGTGACATGTTCAATTCTATGTGTACCTGTTTATTCCTAAGGGGGAATTCACTCTCTCCTGGTTTCAGAGATCGGTAGTACATCCATTCCTCTACCAGGTTCTCTGGGGCCTCAGGGTTGGGTTTAGGCGGCGACAGCGACGCCTCATCTTTCTCAGGCTCTTGAGACTTTTCATGGTAGAAGAATGTTGCAGAGGCTGATTCATCCCTAGAGTAAAACACCAAATACAGTGGGGAAAAAAGTATTTAGTCAGCCACCAATTGTGCAAGTTCTCCCACTTAAAAAGATGAGAGAGGCCTGTAATTTTCCTCATAGGTACACGTCAACTATGACAGACAAATTGAGAGAAAAAAATCCAGAAAATCACATTGTAGGATTTTTTATGAATTTATTTGCAAATTATGGTGGAAAATAAGTATTTGGTCACCTACAAACAAGCAAGATTTCTGGCTCTCACAGACCTGTAACTTCTTCTTTAAGAGGCTCCTCTGTCCTCCACTCGTTACCTGTATTAATGGCACCTGTTTGAACTTGTTATCAGTATAAAAGACACCTGTCCACAACCTCAAACAGTCACACTCCAAACTCCACTATGGCCAAGACCAAAGAGCTGTCAAAGGACACCAGAAACAAAATTGTAGACCTGCACCAGGCTGGGAAGACTGAATCTGCAATAGGTAAGCAGCTTGGTTTGAAGAAATCAACTGTGGGAGCAATTATTAGGAAATGGAAGACATACAAGACCACTGATAATCTCCCTCGATCTGGGGCTCCACGCAAGATCTCACCCCGTGGGGTCAAAATGATCACAAGAACGGTGAGCAAAAATCCCAGAACCACACGGGGGGACCTAGTGAATGACCTGCAGAGAGCTGGGACCAAAGTAACAAAGCCTACCATCAGTAACACACTACGCCGCCAGGGACTCAAATCCTGCAGTGTCCCCCTGCTTAAGCCAGTACATTTCCAGGCCCGTCTGAAGTTTGCTAGAGTGCATTTGGATGATCCAGAAGAGGATTGGGATAATGTCATATGGTCAGATGAAACCAAAATATAACTTTTTGGTAAAAACTCAACTCGTCGTGTTTGGAGGACAAAGAATGCTGAGTTGCATCCAAAGAACACCATACCTACTGTGAAGCATGGGGGTGGAAACATCATGCTTTGGGGCTGTTTTTCTACAAAGGGACCAGGACGACTGATCCGTGTAAAGGAAAGAATGAATGGGGCCATGTATCGTGAGATTTTGAGTGAAAACCTCCTTCCATCAGCAAGGGCATTGAAGATGAAACGTGGTAGCCTAGTGGTTAAGAGCGTTGTGCCAGTAACCGAAAGGTCGCTGGTTCTAATCCCCGAGCCGACTAGGTGAAAAATCTGTCAATGTGCCCTTGAGCAAGGCACTTAACCCTAATTGCTCCTGTAAGTCGCTCTGGATAAGAGCGTCTGCTAAATGACCAATTATTATTATTTATTTATTATTATTTCAGCATGACAATGATCCCAAACACACCGCCCGGGCAACGAAGGAGTGGCTTCGTAAGAAGCATTTAAAAGGTCCTGGAGTGGCCTAGCCAGTCTCCAGATCTCAACCCCATAGAAAATCTTTGGAGGGAGTTGAAAGTCCGTGTTGCCCAGCGACAGCCCCAAAACATCACTGCTCTAGAGGAGATCTGCATGGAGGAATGGGCCAAAATACCAGCAACAGTGTGTGAAAACCTTGTGAAGACTTACAGAAAACGTTTGACCTGTGTCATTGCCAACAAAGGGTATATAACAAAGTATTGAGAAACTTTTGTTATTGACCAAATACTTATTTTCCAAATAAATTCATTAAAAATCCTACAATGTGATTTTCTTGATTTTTTTCCCTCATTTTGTCTGTCATAGTTGACGTGTACCTATGATGAAAATGACAGGCCTCATCTTTTTAAGTGGGAGAACTTGCACAATTGGTGGCTGACTAAATACTTTTTTCCCCCACTGTAGCTCTCTTTAAGCGGCACCAATATTGACATTATATCATTTTGGTTGTTGTACAATGCTGACAGAGATCTGGAAAAAGTGTTTTATTTAAAGAAATACACAAGTGTACTTTAATGAATAGGATATAGGAAAACTTCTTGAGTACATGTATAATATTACATATTAAGTGTAAATAAACAGTAATGTCATACATTTACATTTACATTTTAGTCATTTAGCAGACGCTCTTATCCAGAGCGACTTACAGAAGCAATTAGGGTTAAGTGCCTTGCTCAAGGGCACATCGACAGATTTTTCACACATACATATAATATTACATATTAAGTGTAAATAAACAGTAATGTCGTACATTAGTCAGAGATTGTCTATCTAGGCCTATTTCATTGATAAGAAGCTGAATGGGTCCACACAACACACATCATTAACGCTTCCGTAATCACACTCACTCGTTTGGCAGACAAACCAACCAGATTCATTCAGATGCGGTCAAATATATTGGCACCTTTTCACAATTCACTATTTATTCTAAAATAAGTTCAAATTGATAAAACGTTTGGTGTTCACGTGTATTTGTTGGATTTACAACTGCCCAGGACCAAAAAATAAATAATCTAAACTGAAAAATAGATTTTTCACTTCAAAGTCAAAAATGGCCTGGACTAAATTATTCAAAATTCAAATTAATTTGGTTGGAGGCAAGTGATTCTCATTTATGTGTAATTTATCTGATCTGTGGTAAGTTGCAGGTGCCTACAGGGTAAGAAATAGCCATTTAACCAGTTTTGAAAAGAGAAAACAGACAATTCTGCTCCATTGCATTATATTGTTAGGTGCAAGAGTGACAAAATATTTGACTGCATCTTTAACACAACACAAATGTGTAACATAACACAATAGCCAGTTCAGTACTGCTGAATTTCACAGAAGTCCACAGCAGCAAGCTTAACCTGTATAGGGTGTGATGGGCTTTAGGCCATAACCCCATGGCAGACAGGGTTAGGCCACAGACCAGCCATTATGCTATCCATATAGTACCAGCAGTCCATACTGATAAAAATGTGATGACCTAGTTTGTACCATTGTCTGCACACCCACTCCTACCCTGAGATAAACAGGCAGGTCGCTCACGCCTGCTGCCTATATGGGGGCGACTGTCTGTGTATTTATGGTGAGTCCTATGTCATTGTTAGCTTAAGTACATTAACTGTTGACTGGAATCAAATCCCTTCCTCTGTCCATTAGATTAGGGAGCGCATGTCAAAGTCTCTTTTCATGAATGAAGTGGACAGAGACTGTGTGTACAGTTTGTGTGTAGAGAGAAAGAGAGTGTGTAGAGAGTTTGTGAGGTACCTGTGTTCCACTGATGCCACTATGAAGCCCTGTGAGGCCAGTTCTGTGCATATGGCTGAATATAAAGTTCTGGGGGAAAGAGGTGAGGCATAACATTATGTTCATATAATAACATAAGATAATGTCCATATAATGGAGAATGTACATGTAAGTTGAACAATAAACTTGTGTTTGTACCTGAAAGCTCCAAGTCCATGAGAGAAGATGACTACTGGATACTTCCCATTTTGTTTATATGGGCCATTCAGGGCAGCAGGTATCTTAAAAGATCCTTTATAAAACACCAGAAACAAACACAGTTTGTAATTGAATAACATCTACTGTAGATTGACACTGCATAAAACATTGTCAATCTAGCCCACCTGAGTTTTATGTTCCAGGATCACTATAGCTAAAATAAACTAAATGTTAATGAGTACCATAGAATAAAAGTATTTACCAAAGAGGTAATTGAAAATCTTTTCACTCAGCCCTCTGTTGATTTTCATGAAGTCTGCAAGCCCATAGAAATATCCTTTACATGGGATCCAGTCTGGTTTTTCAGCATTGTCGGATGCTACACATGGATAGTATAACCGAAAGAATGTTCCCTGGTGACAAACAGTTTCAATGGTTGTTACCAGTTGGTTTTGTATTTAGAAAATATAATTTTTCCTAGCTGGTAGGAAAATGACAAAAAGAACAACACTGTTTACCTCTACAGTGTGATCCATCATGAAATCTGAACATCCCACTGCATTGGGCCCTTTTGCTGGTGGGATTCCAAGGTTGTTGCTACAGGAGTTTCCCATAGCTGCGAAGAGACTTAACTTGCACCTCTGATCTGTAAACGCATTAGGATGTCAGTGAGTCAGCATGACTAAGCACATATCTACATGGTAGATACAGAGTAGGCAGTGTATTTCAACAATCCATGTCTTCGTATATTACATGTGAGACTACAGTTCTCCAATAAAGGAGCATTAAGTCAAATTATGTGATGAATGACAGCACCTAGCAAGCTGTCTTTGGATCCTCAATGTATCTAACGTTATAGCTGACAGTTAATACATTACAGAAATCATTAGCTAACTAGCCACGACGATAAGACTGATTTAGTTACAACCAGCTAGAACATGGCATTAATGAATTAGCAAGCATGAAAGAAATTGACTAACGTTAGATATCATGAGTAACTAAGCATAGACGGATGCCAAAAGCTTAAAACTTTGATTTGTTAGCTTTGTGATGCTAGCTATAACTCTTTAGTTTTTACAATATTGTTTACGTTTTAAAGCTAACAACTACCAATGACAAATGAGTTCGATTCAATTCAGTAAGGTATCCATAACTGATCCTGTCCTTGACCACTGATAAATATTCTTACCTAATAACTGTATGAGTCCACCTTTAGCAAACATCGACCTCTAGCTTGGCTAATAAAGTTACTTTGAAAGACATACCAGTTGCTCGTGCTAGCTAGGTCAATATTATCAGTTGAAACCAGCTTAAAAGTATGTGTCATTCAGGAGTGGCTTCCTAGCTGTATTCACTGTCTGTGGACACACATTTCGTAAGAGTTGGGTTGGACAGATCGGGACTAGTGGTGCACCAACTGACGTAGCTGGTTAGCTTAGCATTAGCACTTGTTAGCTACAGAGTGACATTAAAGGGCACGGTCTCGTGCGTCTTCATGGCTTCTGTGTACTGTAATAGCAAATATTTTGTATCACTAAACCACTAAACCAAGATAGACCAAAGCTTATCGTTTCAAACGGGAAAAAATGAGTCATATTGGGCGGAACAAGCAAGGAGGTGGGCAGAGCCAAGCACGAGCTAGCGAGATCCTATACACGCGTACAATCTCATATTTGCATATTTCCGTTGGGGAACGTCTACTCTGTGAAGTGCGCCTTTGCACTCCTTCTAAACTACTATGTTTTAAACCTTTAGCAAAAGGTAAAGTCTACGAGATTTAGTCCACTCTGTTCGTAACATATTCTAGTTTTGGGAAAACTGTATTGAGATCAAATGTTCCATCGATGAGAAAATGTGCAGAATGTCGGCCAAAATCCATCTCGTTCCAGTTTCTCTCACTGGGCTTCCTCTAACTACCATATTTGGTAGTGAGTGGAAACTCCAAGCGGATGCGTCACATTTATACATCCGGTGAATATCTGTCTCACTGTTCTATCGGTGATAGTAGTATGGTAGGCAATCCTTTTGTGATTATTTGCATATTTATTGCATCACACAAACGTCTACATTTTAGTCATTTAGCAGACGCTCTTATCCAGAGCGACTTACAGTTCGTGCATATTGCCTTACCTCCATAACTTGCTACATTTGCACACACTGTATATATATTTTCTGTTGTATTTTTTGACTTTATGTTTTTTACCCCATATGTAACTCTGTGTTGTTGTTGTTTTTATCGCACTACTATGCTTTATCTTGGCCAGGTCGCAGTTGTAAATGAGAACTTGTTCTCAACTGGCTTACCTGGTTAAATAAAGGTGAAATAAAAATAAATAAAAAATGTCATACTGGCCCCCCGTGGGAAACGAACCCACAACCCTGGCGTTGCAAGCGCCATGCTCAACCAACTGAGCTACAGGGGACTATATGCACAGAACAATATGCAAATATCACAAATAACAAAATATCAAAGTAAGGTAAATAATATATAAAACCAGAGAGACACTAAAAAAGTATATTACACTATTACACAAGTTCGATTTTGACAAATAATGTAGACACTTATTTGATAATTTGCTATGTATACCTTTCAGGGATGTTATCTAATATTATAAATCAATTAGAAAAATATTGGACGTTTTTTGTTCTTCCTATGAACTTCATTTTATGGATGAAAATATTTCACAATAAAATGAACAAATTCACAAAGTGTTGGCCGTCATCGTGCGTGTATGTAAAATAAATAAAAATTATATCAAATTTGGTAATGCTTACAGGTTTACCCACCTTATCACTAATATATATTTTCATATCTATCTAAAATATTTCTACACTATCACTGTATATATATATATATTAGTGCATGTAAATAAAACTTGAGTGATCCTTCAGTAAAGTAAAGATTCCATTGGGAATAGCTTTCATTAAAATGTAATATTCCATACACAACATAACGTTTTTCTGGCTAATAATTCGTTGTATGGCGTCACCTTTGACATGCCATGAACTTTTTCATGCAAGAACACTTGTAGGTGGCTACAAATGCAACAATTGATGTCACGCTGTTTTCAATAAAGTGGTGATCCCATAGATCTAGCTAGAGAACTCATCTTTATATTTGTGCCATTATAGCGTCTGTGACAGCATGGGCAGCGCCATTGAGGCTACAACCCATAGGAAATCCCACCCAGTTGACTACTTTAAATGGTGGAAGCCCTCAATTGTGCTGCCCATGGTAAAATGGCCTTTTGGCCACTAGAGGCCTCTATCATTCTATATGGTTAGTCCAGATGTAAGACCAAAGACAGTACAGTATGAAGATAGGCAGAAACTGCTTGGCAATGTTGGCTAGCTAAACTCATGCCCAGAAACGTGTAATCGGGTCTAACGGTCGTCTCGTGGCTAACTGCGCATGTGCATGCCGTCAAATCAATGGCACTCCTTCGATATAAAGTTGTTTTTGACAAAAATTAAAACGTGTCAGTTTGTCACTTTCACGAGATTGGAGTAATAACATATTCAACTACTTAATACATTGGTTCAAATCTAGGTTGTGCTTATAGATGTTGAGGAAATTAATAACTAAGGAATACTTTTTCACTTCTCTCGTTGACTTCTAAGACCCCAAACCCCGGCCTGGTCTTCTTGGCTTGTTTTGCAAGGTTTCCCGGAAGTCTTGTGATGTTGTGCCTCTGGGTTTAGAAACTCCGTGGTAAGATTGAAGATGTGTGTCCACAATGCTGACATGCTGAAGATAAACTTGATTTGTAATTATACTCGATAAATATGAAATTGGTGAGTTGATCTAACACGAGGAGAATTTACCACATAACTGATACGCTATTTTTTGGTATGCTAAGTAATGTAGTTTAAATGGCAAACGTTACTTGGCTAGGTTAGCCAACTACAGTAGTTAGTTATCGTTTGTTGTTAGCCATGGCTCGCATGCTAACTAGCTATCACACATTTGCAAGTTTTTGAACACTGACAAGCCAGCAATCAATTATTGACAAGTATTTTCTTCTGTTGTATTTGCTATGCAAGTTGCTATTGTTGTTTTAGCTAACTTGTTATCATGCCTGTTGAGAGATAACATGTGTAGCATCTCTTCCTTTCAGTACTGTCTGTCAGGTCACCCCACCCTGCCTTGCAATGTCCTAAAATTCAAATCCACCACAATCATGTTGGACTGTGGACTGGACACTGTAATATTCATATGTGTCACCATACTGAATTGTAATTGGATGCATCATACTGTGCAATGATTGGTTAAGACCACCCAGGTGGTGAGGTCATTCTAAGATGATCATGGCCAGAGACACATGGACATGCACGTTATAGCTAGTTAATAAAGAGCTACGTTTATAAATATCCTGTCGTCCTGCATTTTATTATTTTGTACAAAGCGTACAAAACAAGACATGGTGTCAGAGTAAAAGGACTAAAAGATGGATTTTGCTGGAGTTCCTTCACCTCGAATGGATTGGGGGTCTACAAATCTATCCGATGCATGGCGTAAGTTCAAACAGCATGTGGAGCTGATGTTCACGGGTCCTCTGAAGGAAAGAGGAGAAGAGGAAAAGTGCAGCTACCTGCTCCTCTGGATCGGTGAAAAAGGGAGAGACATTTACAACACATGGACACTTACCGAGGCTGAATCAAAGGTACTGAAAACATACTACGATCGTTTTGAAGCATATGTTTTGCCAAAGACCAATACAATTTTCGCTAGGTACAAATTCCATGAGAAAGTACAAGGCGCTAGTGAATCGTTTGAACAGTTTGTCACTGAGCTGCGTCTGCTTGTGAAAGACTGTGATTATGCAAACAAGGATGAGATGGTCAGGGACCGTATTGTATTTGGAATACAATCACCGCGAGTGAGAGAGAAACTTTTGAATGTTGGATCAGAGTTAACGCTGGACAAAGCTATCGACATAGCCAGATCTCACGAGCTAGCACAGGTTCAGATGAAAACCATTTCAGGCGGCAGCATGAGCGCATCACGTGAACAAGCAGTGCACGCAGTCAGGCAGACATCAAAGCACACCTCCAGTGCCCAGAGAGCATGTTTCAGAACGGAGACAGACAGAACTCCAAAACAGAGCGACACAGACTCCAAACGCCCCAAAACATGTGGATATTGTGGATACAAAGTGCATGGCGAACAGGGGAATTGCCCAGCTAAAGGCAAACAGTGTACTAAATGTGGAAAATGAAATCACTTTGCAAAAGTGTGCAGAGTTTACCGTGGAAAAACAGTACATACAGTGAGTGAAGATGAAATGTCAATCAAAGAGTCAAATGCTGATGAACTGTTTATTGATTCAGTGACACAGAAAAGTCAGATATCAGAGACAGAGCAAGCCTTTGCTGACATTGAGATAGGAAGACAAGGCACAGAGCTAAAATTCAAACTAGACACTGGTGCACAAGTAAACATTATTCCTCTGAGTAAGTACAGAAGCTTGACATCTGAGTGTGAGCTACAGCCCACCACGCGCAGACTGACTGGTTATGGTGGTGAACAGCTCCCAGTAAAAGGCACATGCACTCTCAAATGCAAATACAAGGAAAGGGACATGATGTTGGACTTTTACGTTGTTGACACTCGAGCACCTGCAGTGCTAGGTCTTAAAGCATGTTTAGACATGGACCTTATCAAGCTAGTTTTATCAGTGACAGCACCAGTAGAGATAGAGAATGTCATGGAGGAGTTTGCTGAAGTTTTTACAGGAATAGGACTATTCCCAGGAGAATGTACCATTCACCTTGACCCAGACGCAACCCCTGTGGTCTACCCACCGAGAAAGATTCCACTTGCTCTCCGCGCCCGTCTGAAGAAAGAGTTGGAGAGCATGGAGCAATCTGACATCGTCACCAAGGTTACAGAACCGACGGATTGGGTCAACGCGTTAGTGGTGGTGGAGAAACCACGCACAGGCAAGCTCAGAGTATGTCTCGACCCAAGAGACTTGAACAAGGCTATCAAACGCCCCCATTACCCCTTACCGACGCTAGATGGCATCACACACAAGCTAGCGGGCGCACGCTACTTCAGTGTCATGGACGCCAGATCAGGCTACTGGGCTATCAAGCTCACAGAAGAGTCATCTAAGCTCACAACGTTCAACACACCGTTTGGACGCTACAGGTTCCGTCGCCTGCCTTTTGGGATTATCTCAGCCCAAGACGAGTTTCAGCGAAAGATCGACGAGGTGTACGAAGGCCTCGACGGAGTCGTGGCAATTGTGGACGACATCCTTGTCTATGGTCGAACCAAAGAGGAACACGACAGAAACCTCAACGCGATGCTGCAAAGGTCCCGCGAGAGAGGAGTCCGGCTCAACCCCGAGAAGAGCACAGTCGGCGCTACAGAGGTCAGCTACTTCGGGCATCTTCTCACAGCGAATGGAATCAAGCCAGATCCGCAGAAGATCTCAGCCATAAAGGAAATGGAGCCACCAAAGAACCGTGCAGAGCTGGAAACAGTGCTTGGCATGGTCAACTACTTAGCCAAGTTCGCACCCAGCCTCTCCAATGCTAATGCACCCCTGCGTCAGCTGCTAAAGCAGTCCAGTGAGTTCCTCTGGGACAACCAACACGACATCGCTTTCCAGAAAGTGAAAGACTTGATCACGAGAGAACCTGGACCAATCCTTGCCTACTACGACCCCAACAAAGAGCTCAGACTCCAGGTGGACGCGTCAAAGTATGGACTAGGGGCAGTGCTACTGCAAGAAGGAAAACCCATCGGCTACGCTTCCAAATCTCTCACAGACTGTGAAATCAACTACGCTCAAATCGAAAAGGAGCTGTATGCCATTCTGTTCGGATGTAAGCGTTTCCATCAGTATGTCTATGGACGACAAGTCATTGTGGAATCAGACCACAAGCCCCTCGAGTCAATCATGAGGAAACCATTAGCCGCAGCCCCGCCAAGGCTACAGAGAATGATCCTTCAACTACAAAAATACGACTTCACAATCACTCACCGTCCAGGCAAAGACATCCCTGTCGCAGACACACTCTCCAGGAAGTTTCTTACCTACAAGGACAGCAGCCTCAGTGAAGGCATGGACATGCAGGTGCACACTGTGTACAGCAACTTACCAGTTAGTGACACAAAACTGAAGGAGATCCGAGCAGAAACAGAAAAAGACACACAACTCACACAGCTGAGGAAAGTCATACAGTCAGGATGTCCTGAGGAGAGGAGAAAATGCCCTCAGAGCGTCTCAGAGTTCTGGAACCATCGTGACGAACTATCACAGATCAACGGAATCATTTTCAAAGGAGAGAAAATCATCATTCCTACCAGTCTCAGAGAAGAGATTTTGACAAAGATCCATGCTGGACACATGGGCATGGAAAAGTGCAAACAGAGAGCACGGGACATTTTGTTTTGGCCCGGAATGTGCAAACAAATAGAGGACATGGTTGGTAAATGCCCCACCTGTCTTGAACGACGCCCCTCGAACACCAAAGAGCCAATGTTACCTCACCGTATCCCAGACCGACCCTGGCAGGTCGTGGCAACCGATCTGTTCACGTGGAACAACGAGGACTACATTATAACAGTGGACTACTACAGCAGATACTTCGAACTCGACAAGCTTCACAGCACCACATCTGCAGCTGTGATACACAAGCTGAAAGCAGCCTTTGCCAGGCATGGCATTGTAGAGACTTTAATATCTGACAATGGGCCCTGTTACAAATCAAATGAGTTTGAATCCTTCACAAAAGCATGGGAGTTCACACACGTCACCACAAGCCCACATTACCCTCAAAGTAATGGCCTTGCTGAAAAATCTGTGCAGATCGCTAAATCAATCATGGACAAAGCAAAAGCAGACAAGAGAGACCCCTACCTCAGTCTCCTTGAATACCGCAACACTCCAGTTGACAACTTCAAATCACCAGCCCAGCTGTTGATGAGCCGCAGACTTCGCTCAATCCTTCCCAGCACCAACCAGCAGCTGCAACCGGAGGTCGTCAGCTACAAGGAAGTGCATGCAAAACGTGCACAGAGACAACAACAGCAAAAGCGATACTACGACAGGTCAGCCAGACCACTGCCACCACTGAACGACGGAGAGTCAGTTAGAATCCAGGAGCATGGCTACTGGAAGCCAGCAGTCGTCATCCAACCAGCTGACACTGAACGTTCATATCTCGTTCGCACCGCAGAAGGAGCGGTGTACCGCCGCAATCGTCGTCACCTACTGAACACAAAAGAACAACACACTGACGAGATGAACTGTTCCCCTGAAAGAGAACGGGGTGGACTAAACACAGACACAACACAACATACACCATACTTACCTGCAACACCACAAGAACTGTTGACTGACACAGAAGCATGCTCAGCTTCATATCACACAAGGTCAGGAAGAGAGGTCAAGCCTAGAGCTGTCCTAGACCTGTGAAATGTCAAAGGGTGTAGGCAGATCGCTGCCCTAAAAGAGTTTCCAGACTGTAAACTTGTTATTGAAAGTTAACTTGAAATGCTTTGGTATTGTATTTGTTTGATATGTTGAGATGTCATTGCTACAGTGAAAAGCTGAGTTGCTGAGAAATTGTTATCATGGCCGGTGAGAGATAAACATGTGTAGCATTCTTCCTTTCAGTACTGTCTGGTCAGGTCACCCCACCCTGCCTTGGCAATGTCCTAAAAATTCAAATCCACCACACTCATGTTGGACTGTGGACTGGACACCACCTCTGTGCTGCAGTTTCTTCCACTGCCTCTGGTACACAGGTGAGACAGAAGTGATGTTAACAACAATGCTGCTATACTTCGGCCACACAGCAGTATGCACCTGGGTTATTCCTCCACATTTGTACTGTATTTCTTCCTTAGGTTGACATTGCAAAGACATTTACCATAAATAGACATATTTGCCCCAACAAGTGCCATGCCATGATGATGAGTGTACCCTGTCTCTTTTCCAGCCCAAGGCTTTCCAAGCTCCCTGGATGGTTGTCTAAAGACAGCACGATAAACATTGAGAAGGTATGAGGTCACATTTTGTTTCATGTCTAATGTAGATTTATTCATGAATTGAGTTTACCAACATTCCTGCACACTTCTACCTTCAGGAGCTGAAAGTGTGTGCGGGTCGCGTCTTTGTGGACTCACAGCCAGAGTTCTGTCTCCCTGAGGTAATATATACCTGGATATAATTCCAACCTTCAACCTGTACATTAAATTAACCTGGGCACTATATAAGTCACTGTTGGTAACATCATCTTATGTTAATGTGGTGATATATTAGTCTTGCTTATCGCGTCCTTGTCCATCCTCCTCACTCAGAAAGAGCTGCTGGACCTGTCCACCATAGACGTCATCCTGATCTCCAACTACCACTGTATGATGGCCCTGCCTTACATCACAGAGCACACAGGCTTCACTGGGACTGTGTATGCCACAGAGCCAACGCTGCAGATCGGCAGGTAGAGAGGGTGACTGATGGGACTAGAATAATCTGCAACATTCTAGAATCACCAGAATTGGCAACATTCCAGAAAAATGCAATTTACATTTTAGAAGCACATTCTAGAATCACTAGGATTTGCAACATTGTAGGAAAATGTAATGATTCTAGAATGTGATTCTAGCAATTAACATTCTAGAATCATTAGAATATCAACGTTCCAGAAAAAATGACAAGGGGCTTTTAGAAGGGATTGAATAAGCCTAAGAATAGTTCCGGATAGCATCCGGCTGATTCTACATATCTGCCCTTAGACTTCTGATGGAGGAGCTGGTGAACTTCATGGAGAGAGTTCCCAAGGCCCAGTCTGCCACCTGTTGGAAGAATAAGGAAATACAAAGGTGACCGGCCAGACCAATGCCCTGCACTAATTAGTTTAGGATATGTATTAGTTTAGGATATGTCAGCTTATGATATACTTGTAATTCACAAACTGAGAGCACACTATTTTCATGAGAAAAAACATAGAGAGATATTAATTTATTTTTAGGCTGCTCCCCAGCCCGCTGAAGGATGCTGTAGAAGTGTCGACTTGGAAGAGATGCTACAGTATTCAGGATGTCAACTCTGCTCTCAGCAAGGTGCAACTTGTGGGCTACTCGCAGAAAGTGGTAAGAAGTCTGTCTTGTGCACTATAATTCAAACACACACACGCATTCATTCACCTAATAACTGAAGCTAACTTGTGTCTTCTATAATCTCTCTCTCCAGGAGCTGTTTGGCGCCGTGCAGGTCACACCCCTAAGCTCTGGCTACTCATTGGGTAGCTCTAACTGGATCATCCAATCACATTATGAGAAGGTTTCCTATGTCTCTGGCTCCTCCCTCCTCACCACACATCCACAGCCCATGGATCAGAGCGCCCTGAAGAACAGTGATGTTCTGATTCTGACGGGCCTCACACAGATGCCAACCGCCAACCCAGATGGCATGCTAGGGGACTTCTGCAGTAACCTAGGTATGCGGTGTCCTGGTCCCGGGTCTGTTTGTGCTGTCTTGCCATCTCCTATGGTCATTGGCTTTCATCGATGTTCATAGCTCCATCAACAGTCCAATTGCCTAATCTTTGGAATCTTGCATAGTACCTGTAAAAACACAGTGCATTCAAATTTGAATTCATATGTAAGATAGAAGTGGAGACCAAAAACGTATAGAAACAGGTTTGAAGTGTAACTAAATGTAATGTCTTTAGACAGGTACACATAAAGCTAATTACAGGTTGACGTATGGTGCTGTGTCTCACCAAACAGTCTGTTGTGCTTGTAGCCATGACGATCCGTGCAGGTGGCAACGTGCTGGTGCCATGCTATTCCTCAGGGGTGATCTATGATCTCTTGGAGTGTCTTTACCAGTTCATAGAGAACGCCAACCTGGGCTCCACCCCCTTCTACTTTATCTCACCTGTGGCCAACAGCTCTCTAGAGTTCTCACAGATTTTCGCAGAGTGGTGAGTTCCAGAGCCAAATAATACAAATTCTTCTAGAATTCTATTTCTATGACCTGTGATTTTTGAGCCATCTGTAGATTTGACTACTGCTATCTCGAAACAGGTCTCTTGTAAAATAGATTTTTTTAAATATAACTAGCTAGGTTTCCATCCAATTGGTGACAGATTTTCATGCAAATATTAAAAAATCCACATAAAGAAAATATGTGCATTTTCCCACCAGTGGTGTTTCCACCAAACAGACTTGTTGCGGATAAAAATCAGTGCGTGAGGATGTAGTGCACACAAAATGTACTTTTTTGCTGAAGTTTTCATTTACTGAATAAAAGTAAAATTTGTTTCCATCACATTTTCAACTCTACTGATAGTTTTGTCACAAACTGTTGCATTAAATAGCAAATGTTCCTACTCTGGTCTTGGCACGTGCGCTCTAGCCAACAGCTGGCAGACACAGGTAGGTAGGCTAGTCTACATGATGAGATTATTATGGATAAGAGGGAGAATATTTGTATTTGTCGAACAGCAGTCAAGCATCGATCCTCATGTCACCAGAATCAGACCCTCAACATTTATTGGAAAGGAGCATCAAGATCACCGTACACTTCACCACCCTGTGAAGTTCATCATAACTTACTTAGTCTGTAGCCTAATAAACTGCATGGTTTCCTGAGTCCTAGTGGAGGACCACACACCATATCATCGCGTGACTTCAAGTTTACGTCGATATGATAGTTATTATATTAATATTTGCGCATAAAGGCGTTTCCACTGCCATTTCTCGTATAATACATTTTACTGACACAAAAAGATCCCACCATGTCGAACAACAAATGATCTGTCGGCATTTATAAAATAGTAATGAAACTTCCTCTTTTCCATCACAGCTGTCGTAATAAAAAATAAAAAAATGGTATGACTTTACTCTCATAAAAACTGGATGGAAACGTGTTTAATGAGACTAACCTACAGTGCCCTCTGTAATTATTGGGACAGTGAAGTATTTTTTATGACTATGTGGTTAAAGTGCAGACTGTCAGCTTGAATTTTCATCCATATCGGGTGAACCATTCAGAAATTACAGCACTTTGTACATAGTCCCCCCATTTTATGGGGACAAAATTATTGGGACAAATTCACTTATGTGTAGTAAAAAGTTAAGTATTTGGTCCCATATTCATGTCACGCAATGACTACATCAAGCTTGTAACTCTACACATTTGTTGGATTCATTTGCTGTTTGTTTTGTTTGTTTTTAGATTATTTTGTGCCCAATAGAAATGAATGGTAAATAAGGCATTGTGTCATTTTGAAGTAACCTTTATTGTAAATAGAATATAACATGTTTCTAAACACTTCTACATTAATGTGGATGCTACCATGATTACGGATAATTCAGAATGAATCGTGAATAATTATGAGTGAGAAAGTTAGACGAAAAAATATCATACCCCTTAGACATGCTAACCTCTCACCATTGCAATAACAGGGGAGGTTAGCATTTTTGGAGGGAAATGATATTTGTGTGTCTGACATTTCCTTTCTGGACAATTTACTTATTCAATACTGTGTACTCTCACTCTCACACACACAAAAGCTACACTTACACACTGACCTGCAGTGTATGCTCCATATTCTATTCTTATTTACAATAAGAGACCAAAATGACACAATACATTATTTACCATTTAGAAACAGGGAACAAATACTTAACGTTTTTTCTGCTGTAATTTCTAAACAGTTCACCCGATATGTATGAAAATACCCTCAAATAAAGCTCACAGTCTGCACTTTAACCTCATAGTCATTGTTTGATTTCAAATTCTAACTTTTGGAGTATAGAGCCAAAAGAAGGAAAAAAATACTTCACTGTCCCAATATTTACAGCGGGCACTGTATATAAATGGGTTAAATTAAAACTTACTGTTGGTAGCAAACCTGTCGCTGGCCTGTGGAGATGTGACACCCATTTTTTCCCCTTCTTCCTTCTCTTCCGGAAGGCTCTGTCACAATAAGCAGTCCAAGGTCTACCTTCCAGAACCTCCTTTCCCTCACGCTGAGGTAAGGCTGCCTATTCGTTTTAAAGAGAGTTGCTGCAATATGAAATTACATTGCACCATATTTTACAGTTGTATCTTTAATTTACTCAATCTATCAGAATTTTGGACACTGTTCTTTTGATAATTGAGCTATAGCTGTATGTTGACCTATCTCAGACACTTGTCTGTCTTTCTGTCGATGTATCTCTCAGTTGATCCAGACCAACAAGTTGAAGCATTACCCCAGTATCCATGGCGACTTCAGTAGTGAGTTCCGGCAGCCGTGTGTGGTGTTCACCGGGCACCCGTCTCTTCGCTTCGGGGACGTGGTACACTTTATGGAACTGTGGGGCAAATCCAGCCTCAACACTATCATCTTCACTGGTGAGCACAACTGTACCAGAACATGGCAAGTTGCCAACCATGGTAGCCTGTCCCTAATCTCAGAACCCATAACCAAATCCTGCGCTAGCTAGTTAGTCTGTTGCAAGAGACTTGATCTGTCCTTAAAACTTTGTGTACCATTGTTCAAATACCATTAATAGACTATATAAAACAGAAGGTTAGATCCCATGGTCCCAAGGTGGTTTCATTACAGGCTGTGCCTAAAATATGAGGTCCACTGAATGAACTCCTGAACTATGAATGTTTAAAAAAAAAGAACCAGACTTCTCCTACCTGGATGCGTTAGCCCCTTACCAGCCACTGGCCATGAAATGTGTGTACTGTCCCATCGATACTCGCCTCAACTTCCACCAGGTCTCCAAGCTGCTCAAGGAGGTCCAGGTACTCAATCTGGAGCTTTTATAAGGAAAGCACTGTGATTTATACATTTGTACAGTTCCTTCAGAAAGTTTTCACACCCCTTGACTTTTTCCAAATTTTGTTGTGTTACAGCCTGAATTTAAAATGGATTAAATGTAGATTCTGTGTCACTGATCTACACACAATACCCCATCATGTCAAAGTGGAATTATGTTTTAGGCTTGCAATAACAAGTTAATAAAAAATGGAAAGGTGAAATGTCTTGAGTTAATAAGTATTCAACCCCTTTGTTTTGGAAAGCCTGAACAACTCAGATGATAAGTTGCATGGACTTACTCTGTGTGCAATAATGGTGTTTAAAATGACTACCCCACACATACAATTATCTGTAAGGTCCCTCAGTCGAGCAGCGAATTTTAAGCACAGATTCAATGACGAAGACCAGGGAGGTTTTTCAATGCCTTGCAAAGAAGGGCACCTATTGGTAAATGGGTAAAAATAATGAATATCCCTTTGAGCATGGTGAAGTTATCACATACACTTTGGATGGTTTATCAATACACCCAGTCACTTCAATGATACAGGTGTCCTTCCTAACTCAGTTGACAGAGAGGAAAGAAAACGCTCAGGGATTTCACCATGAGGCTAATGGTGATTTAAAACAGAGTTGAATGGCTTTGATAGGAGAACTGAGGATGGATCAACATTGTAGTTACTCTACAGTACTAACCAAAACAGAGTGAAAAGAAGGAAACCTGTACAGAATACAAATATTTCAAAACATGCATCCTTTTTGCAATAAGGCACTAAAGTAATACTGCAAAACGTGTGGCAAAGAAATTAACTTTTTTAAATATATATTTTTTAATGATGTATTTCTTTATTTTTGTGTGATTTTACCCAATTTTTCTCCCCAATTTCGTGGTATCCAATTGGTAGTTACAGTCTTGTCCCATCGCTGCAACTCCCGTACGGACTCGGGAGAGGCGAAGGTCGAGAGCCGTGCGTCCTCCGAAACACAACCCAACCGAGCCGCACTGCTTCTTGACACAATGCTCGCTTAACCCGGAAGCTAGCCGCACCAATGTGTCGGAGAAAACACCGTACACCTAGCGACCGTGTCAGCGTGCACTGCGCCCGGCCTGCCACAGGAGCTAGTGCCGATGGTACAAGAACATCCCTGCCTGCCAAACCCACCCCTAACCTACCTGGACGACGCTGGGCCAATTGTGCGCCGCCCATGGGTCTCCAGGTCGCGGCCGGCTGCGACAGAGCCTGGACTCAAACCAGGATCTCTAGTGGCACAGCCAGCACTGCGATGCAGTGCCTTAGACCACCGCGCCAGAAATTAACTTTTTGTCCTGAATACAAAGCATTATGTTTGGTGCATTATGTTTGGTGCAGAGTACCACTCACTGAGTACCACTCTTCATATTTTCAAGCATGGTGGTGGCTGCATCATGTTATGGGTAATGCTGGGGAGTAAAAAAAAAAAAATACAAAAGGAATAGACCACAGGCTTTTCCTAGAGGAAAACATGGTTCAGTCTGCTTTCCAACAGACACTGGGAGATAAATCCACCTTTCAGCAGGACAATAACCTAAAACACAAGGCCAAATATACACGAGTTGCTCACCAAGATGACATTGAATGTCCCCGAGTGGCCTAGTTTTGACTTAAATCGGCTTGAAAATCAATGGCAAGAAAATGGCTGTCTAGCAATGAAAAAGAAAATGTACATCATCAACCAACTTGACAGAATTTTTTAAAGAAAAATGGGCTAATATTGTACAATCCAGGTTTGGATTGAGACTTACTCAGAAAGACTCTAACATGTATTGACACAGGGGGTTGACTACTTATCTAATCAAGATATATTAGTGTTTTATTTTCCATTAATAAAAAACTAATGTTAGAATTTGTCTTCCACTTTGACATTACAGAGTATTTTGTGTAGATCGTTGACAAAAAAATTACAATTAAATCCATTTGAATCCCACTTTGTAACAACACAATGTGGATAAAGTCAAGGGGTGTGAATTCTTTCTGAAGGCACTTCTCCCCTTGTTCTTCCTTTTTTAATCTTGGAAACTTTATTTGACTTGTTTGCCCATAACCTCCCCTCCCCTCCCAGCCTCTCCATGTGGTGTGTCCAGAGCAGTACACCCAGCCCCCCCCAGCCCAGTCCCACCGCTCTGACCTGATGCTGGAGCTGCAGCCCCCTCCCATGCCCTACTGCCGCTGCTCTGTGCTGGGCCTGCCCTTCAGACGCCGCTGGGAACGCATCCAGCTACTGCCAGAGGTGGGGACTGTTGCAACACACTAGCCTGGCATTACCATTCTCCCAAGTTTCGTTCATCACTCTGCTGAAGCCTGGAAATCGAGGCTAGCAATACATTAACACCTTATGACCAAAAGTAGTATGGACTATATGGGGAATTGGGTTGTCGTTTAGGATTTGTCCAAACAGTCTCTAAACCCCTACCTGTCGTCCCTCTGCAGCTGGCCAAATCCCTAGTGCCCTCTGAGATCAAACCTGGCATCTCCGTGGCAACTGTGTCCGCAGTTCTGCAGTCCAAGGATAACAAGCATACGCTGCAGGTCAGTGTGTGAGTGTAGGTTTTGTGTGTTGAATACGTACATTTTCCAGAAAGGAAATGTCAGACACACAAATATCATATCCCTCCACACACCACTAACTATCTGGTCTGTGTGATACCAGCCGGTTCCCAAGCCCCCTCCGCTGCCCCCCAGTAAAAAGAGGAAGCGTGTAGTGGAGGAGCCCCCAGAGTTGCTGGCACCCAAACCCCTGCTCAGTGGAGCTGTACCCCTGGAAGCCTTCCTAGCCATGCTACATAAGGTGAGAGTGACACCTTCAAAGCGCTGAACACTTGATTGGCGTCAGCATTTCTGAAGAGATTGGGGTTGATGTCAACAGTATGGCTATAGCTCTCCTTCCAAGCTTCCAGTTGACTTAGGAGAGATTCTGCCTTACAAGTCCGTCTCTTCATATATGCAAACATGTAGAGTTGAAGTCGAAAGTTTACATACACTTAGGTTAGAGTCATTAAAACTCGTTTTTCAACTACTCCACTAATTTCGGCAAGTCGGTTAGGACATCTACTTTGTGCATGACACAAGTAATTTTTCCAACAATTGTTTACAGACAGATTATTTCACATATAATTCATTGTATCACAATTCCATTGGGTCAGAAGTTTACATACACTAAGTTGACTGTGCCTTTAAACAGCTTGGAAAATTCCAAAAAATGATGTCATGGCTTTAGAAGCTTCTGATAGGCTAATTGACATAATTTGAGTCAATTGGAGGTGTACCTGTGGATGTATTTCAAGGCCTACCTTCAAACTCAGTGCCTCTTTGCTTGACATCATGGGAAAATCAAAAGAAATCAGCCAAGAGCTCAGAAAAATATTGTAGACCTCCATAATGATCATCATTATGTTTGGAAGAAAAAGGGGGACACTTGCAAGCCGAAGAACACCATCCCAACCGTGAAGCACAGGGATGGCAGCATCATGCTGTGGGGGTGCTTTGCTGCAGGAGGGACTGGTGCACTTCACAAAATAGATGGCATCATGAGGAAGGATAATCATGTGGATATATTGAAGCAACATCTCAATACATCAGTCAGGAAGTTAAAGCTTGGTCACAAATGGGTCTTCCAAATGGACAATGACCCCAAGCATACTTCCAAAGTTGTGGCAAAATGGCTTAAGGACAACAAAGTCAAGGTATTGGAGTGGCCATCACAAAGCCCTGACCTCAATCCTATAGAACATTTGTGGGCGGAACTGAAAGAGCATGTGAGATTGAGGCCTACAAACCTGACTCAGTTACACCAGCTCTGAGGAATGGGCCAAAATTCAACCAACTTACTGTGGGAAGCTTGTGGAAGGCTAACCGAAACGTTTGACCCAAGTTAAACAATTTAAAGGCAATGCTACCAAATACTAATTGAGTGTATGTAAACTTCTGACCCACTGGGAATGTGATGAAAGAAATAAAAGCTGAAATAAATCATTCTCTACTATTATTCTGACATTTCACATTCTTAAAATAAAGTGGTGATCCTAACTGACCTAAGACAGGGAATTCTTTACTAGGATTAAATGTCAGGAATTGTGAAAAACTGAGTTTAAATGTATTTGGCTAAGGTGTATGTAAACTTCCGACTTCAACTGTAGTTAGGCTTACGGTTAATTATTTTGGGAATTAGCATCAATGTGTCCTGTTCCCTGCCAGCACGGCATCACAGAAGTGAAGGTGGAGGAGACTGCGGAGGGCCACATTCTGCACCTGCAGGCTGAGGACACTCTGATCCAGCTGGAGGAGGACGGGACTCACATCGTGTGTGACAACAACGAGCCGCTCCGCACCACTCTCAGGGACCTGGTGCTGCGCTTCCTCATGAAACTCTAACCTTAACCCCCTAACTCTGACCTCAACGCCACCGCTTCTGTTCCTCAATGTGCGTGTTTGAGATTGACTACATTGCAGTCAGCGACTGCAGAATGACTGTTCTACAAATCTGGCTTGCATCCTGAATGACTACTTATTATGATTGGTAGATCAGTCTGTCTACGGTCGCCAACTGCAATGTGGTCATTCTCAAACACGCACTTTCCCAATAGCTGTCTTTCTCTACTTGTCTCCTCTCATTTGTACAGCTAATGTTGTCATTTTAGTTGTCTTATATGTAGACGGTAGTGCTTTTGTAATATATATATATGTAAACTGATGTGTAAAATAGTATTTTGTAATAAACTACATTTAGGAAAAAAGAGAGTCACTTTTATCTGTTTGAGAGAAGAAAATGACCATTCCCAATATTAAAATCCCTTCTGAAGAGTCCTGTATTCACTAGAAAATGTACACTTCAGTCTAGTTCAGAGGAGGCTGGTGGGAGGAGCTATAGGACAGGCTCATTGTCTTGACTGAAATGGAAACCAATGCAACGGAGTCAAACAATTCCATTGATTACATTCCAGCCATTATAATGAGCCTGTCCTCCTATAGTTCCTCCCACCAGCCTCTGTTCTGGTCTCTCAGGGAAAAGCAACAAAAGGTGAGAAGGTGATTGTTTATTCCACCAAGGAGTAAGTGACAATTCCTCCAGATTCCACAGGAGGGTGTGACAGTGCTTTACAGACATCATTTGGGGAGATTCCTTATATTTGATCATTGCAGATCCTGAATCCAGTCACTTGGAGGCCATGAAAACTGGCTAAGTCATGCTCACATAGTACACTACTAGAGACTAGGCTCCATTTAGTCAATGTACATCACTTCTTCAATGGCGGGTGTTACAAATACTTCAGGACAACCCTCTCCATTATGCATTATTTAATTACTTTCACAATTTACGTGGACAATTAAATACACCATCTTAATTTCAGATCAATTGTTATAGGTTAAACGCTCTCTAATCATATTTTATTGGTCACGTACACCAGCTTTGATGCACCTGTACAATCTCCACCTTCTAGATGGTAGCGGGGTGAACAGGCTGTGGCTCGGGTGACTGAGGTCCTTGATGATCTTCTTGGCCTTCCTGTGACACTGGGTGCTGTAGATGTCCTGTAGATGCGTTGGGCTGACCGCACCACCCTCTGGAGTGCCCTGCGGTTGTGGATGGCGCAATTGCCGTACCAAGCGGTGATACAGCCCGACAGGAAGCTCTATGCTGCATCTGTAATTTGTGAGGGTCTTAGGGGCCAAGACAAATTTCTTCATTCCGAGGTTGCGTCTTCACTACACTGTCTGTCAATGGACCATTTCAGGTTGTCAGTGATGTGCACGCCAAGGGACTTGAAGCTGACCAACTCTACATTCCTCCAGTGAAGGCATCAGTAGTTAGGTATTGATTCAGAACTGGCGCAGGGCCAAATAGAACAGATGAGTTTCTAAGTTTATTCCCAACAGGGCTGAGCTGATAAACCTCAGTGTGGAAACAAACCAGAGAACCAGCTTTTAGGTAACAAAATATATTGGCCTTTTCTCAATTAGATTTGCTCACCTCCATCCTCTCTTGCCTCCTTTTGAAAAAGTTAAAAGTGAATAAGAGGAGAGTGAATGTGGATGGAAATGCACTCGCTTGAAACGAGACGGTCCTTCTCCACTCGCGCCTCATTAGGCTAATGTTGTTTACACGGGGCGGATCCCAAAAATGTGTAAAGTGATCAAATTAAGTTAGTTGTGTAAGACATTTTATAAAACAATAAGTAGCATATTGTTTTCAAACGTGTGTATGCTCTCCTCTGACAAAACAAAAGCTGATTGAAAGATGGTGTGGCAGATTTCAAAACTCTTCCATGGTAGGATAAACGAGTATCCTCGATGAAAGGTGGCTATCCAGGAGGACACTCTTCCGTTTGCCTACCAACGAATTGACACACTCCTCTACCACTTATCTGTTTCTGGGTCACTGAGAGGATGGACTTTTGCCCAAACAAGAAAACCCTACTGAGAGCAGGTGGAGATAATAGGCCAAGTAAGGCTAGATCATTTTACAGGCAGGGCACAGATCCCTAAAGCAACTACCAGCCCCAACTAAATTAGCATCAATAGTTACAAGAGTGGTAGACTGCTGCACGGGCACACAAGTCAACTACAAAATACTTTCCTCACACTGAAAGGCATCCCAGAGTGCAACATACTCACTATATACTAAAAAATGTTGAATTTCCAGAACACTGACCATTTGTGTGGGAAAATATTTAATTGATAGAGTTTACATGCACCTAAAATACATGTAATAATATTTCAATGTACAATATCTTAAATATACAGTGTACTACATGAGCATTAGATAACAAATGTATGCAGCAGATGGAAATGTTGATGTACTGATTGTCAGGAAGTCTAGTAGCCCTGTTCGAATATTGTTTTAATGTCTACTCTCCCTTCCTCGACATGACTATTGACTTGACAAAAGCAAGCTACCCATCACATTACTTCCACCTATATAATTAAACTGGATCAGTGATCATATTGAGGAAGAAAGGAAAGAAGTGGATTGGTGCATTTGAGCGGATCTATAAATGCTTTAGTGAGAACATGTTTGTGGAATAATGCATTCGAACAGTAAACGTATACAGGCAGTGCGTTTTGAAGGAATCTCCTAGTCACCTGAGGGCAGTTTGGTCTTCAGCAGGTTCTATTGTAATACAACTTCTTATAGGACTTGTGGAAGGGACACAGAGGCTCAGCCAACACTTCATAAGCCCAATCCCAAATCAACCCTTAGCCCCTATCCCCCAGGCACTTTTTTAGATCTGAAATAACTGGATATGTACACAACAGTTTGCAGTTTAGCAGACGCTCTTATCCAGAGCGACTTACAGGAGCAATTAGGTGTAAGTGCCTTGCTCAAGGGCACATCGATTAGATTTTTCACCTAGTCGGCTCAGGAATTTGAACCAGCAACCTTTTGGGTTACAATGCTCTTAACCACTAGGCTACCTGCACAACATGCTTGTAGCTCCAGCTTGCCAGTGTCTTCTGAAAACGTTCACCATGTGGCTTAAAAGATACGCTTTCACATACATCTAACAAATATAAGATCTACACAAGTGCCTAGGGTTCTAGGGGCTAAAAGTCAACCACCAGCTTTCTCTAAACTGGACACCGACCGACTGGTTTGTCTACTTGGATTCTTTCTCAACGTCCAGCAGCACAGAGCGGATCCCAAGCTTCTGGAGCTCTTCTACCAGGTCGCCGTTCTGGTGCATCTGTAGGAGGATGTCACAGCCGCCCACAAACTCTCCATTTAAGAATATCTGTGGGATCGTGGGCCAGTTGGAGAAGTCCTTCACTCCTGTGAGAGAGACAGGAAGAATTAACATGTTGACACAATATCCATACAACATTTCCATTATGGCCCAATTTCAGCAGTATGCTGGTGTTGTAAGATAACAATTCCCCAACTGACAATTCCTTTGACGCACTTGTGTTGCAAGTTAGCATTTCCTTATATTCATAGGCTGTTACACAATGTTGTCTCTACTAGTCCCATTGAATAGCAACAGTCACGGTAAAAATTAAGGGACTACCTAGTAACATAAATTGCTATAACAAGCATAATAAATGTCAGCACAGAAGTAGTCTTAACGTTTGACATGAACCACACCCTATTTGTCCTTGCTGCAAAACACTGATAAAATACTGTGAACCTGGTTAGCTAGATTTGAAAAGGAGCACAACTACTTTTGGACAGGTTGATGTACCATAGATACATATAGTTCATTATTGTCATCTTACTGAAACTATTGTTACTAACTAACTTACAAGGTTAAAAACGATCAGTCAGAATAAAATGTAGGCTAGTATTTGGAAGTAAAAAGTAGCGAGCTGTACTGACCTTGTCTGAGATCCTGGTCATCCAACACATTATATGCAGCATATTCATTCACACCATGCATCCTCAGTATCTGAACCACGGCATTACTGAAACCACACATTGGCTGGGCAGGCGTCCCCTTCATAAACACCACCACCTTGTCCTTCTTCACAATATCGCCAAGGTCTTTCTGTAAGGCCGCAGTACACATGAGCCGGGCCGAGGACACCAACGATACATGTTGTCCATCAAATTGCTTCGGTAGATAGACCGATGAACTCAACCGAAGACAGCGAACTGTAGACCGAATTAGGTTGTTCATTGTCTTCGTTTGACTTTAGCAAAAACACTATGTGAAATTATAAACAGACAGGTACACTTTCACACACGAGCAGGGCAACACATTTATAGTTGAGACAACGTCAACCTCGATATCATGTGACAAGATGGACGCAACTAGATCTGAATGATGACTGGACAGCATAAATTCCGGTACGTAAACGCCAATTACGTTAGTTACACAAGTGTGGGTAAAGAAAAAGCTTACGAAAATATTTACTTTGATAATAATTATAGTCCTAGATAAAAAAATATATATATGTTATAACACATAAACGTCGGACAATTTGTTTTTCTTAAACGTTTTAACATAACATGTGAAAATCAGCTTCCGGTTTTGCGACGTCATTAGTGGCGTCCCGCTTTTAAAGGAAAAAGACAAGAAAGTTGTTCATCCGAAGATCAAAACGTGCAATCATTCATACAACACAGGTTTGTTAGATATTATGACTAGTGCTACTAATTGTATTGCAAGGAAAACCGTGCTGTATATATTTAACAACACAGTTAATGAGAAAGTTTAGGGTTAGAAAGAAGTTGAGATTGTTTGTGTGTGAGTAGCTAGCTAACGTTAGCTAGTTAGCTGTGGCATGCTGGTCGAGTCCTGCAACATGCAAACGATGCATAGTCGCACTCTTTCATAGCTAACTATTTGTAACCTTGTGAAACAGCCTCTTGCAAGGACAATTGCTTGTGGCGAAACACGGTTACATAAAGTAAAACAAGGAAGCTAAGGCGTGACTTCTGGAGGTTGAGGAGTTCCACGTGCGATGTTCCTTGGACAGATTGTCTTCGGAGAGCCCTGCTTTCCACGGTGGTGACGGACCTTCATGTACCCTCACCTTTCTTGAAGCAGGAAGAAAAAGCATTGTGCGGTAACCAGACATTGTTTGAAAGGGGAAGGGTTTCCTGTCGAACACTGTGGAGTTGCCACATTCTCTCTAGTATCTATACCTGTAGTGCAGGGATTCAGTATTTGGCCCTCACCAGCTGTTGGTTGGCCCTGCTTTTGAATTTAAGGACCTTTGTCATACCTTTTTATATAAACCCTGTTGTTTCTCTGTCTCTCTGAACAGGTAGTGTAGAGCATGGCCGGTGTCACAGGGAAATATCTCTCCTGTGTGTTGTGACATCTTCAGGGATGCCATTATCCTCTTGTGTAGTCACAGCGTGCATAAAGCATGTCTGCAGGAACACTGGAGACATAAGGGATCTCGGGAATGACCAGTGTGCTGGGAAATATTTAAGAAAGACAATCCACCGTGTAACCTGGTCGTAAAGAACCTGTGCGAAGCCTTCCTTCAGGAGAGGAGTCAGGGGGCTTCAGAGACTGCTGGGTCTGGGGTGTTCTGCAGTCTGCACAGGGAGGAGAAACTCACGCTTTTCTGTGTGGAGGGAAACGGCTCATTTGTGTGGCCCTCCTGTAGCTCAGTTGGTAGAGCATGGCACTTGCAACGCAAGGGTTGTGGGTTCGATTCCCACGGGGGGGGGCAGTATGAAAAAATGTATGCACTCACTAATTGTAAGTCGCTCTGGATAAGAGCGTCTGCTAAATGACTAAAATGTCAATTGGATCACAAAAAAAAAAAATGGTGTCAGACCTCGAACCAACATAAAGATCACAACTGCTGCCCGACAGATGAAGCTGCACTGGATTGTAAGGAGACAGTCAAAACTTCACAGTAGCCCCTAAAGAAGAAGCTGATGGCCTTTGATGAAATGAAACAGACCTGCTAGAAGTCAGCAGTGTATATTAAGGCCCAGCAGACAGAGAAGCTGATTAAGGAGGAGCTTCACTAGTTCCTTCGAGATGAGGAGAGGGCCAGGCTAGTTGCACTGAAGGGGGAAGATGATAGGAAGAGCTGGTTGTTGAACAAGATTGAAAGGATGAACAGAGAGATGACATCTCTTTCAGATACAATCATAGCCATAGAGGAGGAGCTGAAAGCATCTCTTTCCTGCACACCTACAAGGCCACGGTGAAAAGAACTATGCAGACTGCCGGACCCAAAGCTGCGCTCAGGAATGCTGATAGACGTGGCCAAACACCTGGGCAACCTGTCCTTCAGTGTCTGGGAGAAGATGTAGGGAATAGCTAAACACAGCCCTGTGATTCTGGACCCCAACACGGCCTCCCTGTGCACCCTCACCCTTTCTGGTGGTCTGACCAGCTTGAGGTACAACAATGGTGAAGATAAAATTCCTGCCAACCCGGAGAGGATGGATGACAATGGGGTGGTGCTGGGCTCTGTGGGTTTTGAGTCAGGGACACATTGCTGGGATGTTGAGGTTGAGGACTGGGATGTGGGAGTGATCACTGAGTCATGCAGCAAGGAAAATTGAGTTGTTTAAGCAAATATGGGGTGTTGAGTATGTCGGTGGTTTTAAAGCATGTTGTCCATCACAGAAATCTCAATTGGTAAACTCTGATTTACCACCCCAAAATACCCCTGCACAGTGTCTATTTGCGCCTCTACCGGATGGAAACTACAAGTGTAATGGCTGCGCTCAATGCAATGGCACTTACAAATGTAGATCCTTCAAACACCCTCAAACAGATCCCAATCAAAGGTGTTATCACGTTCTCCACTAAGGCAGTTACAGTGAGGGAAAAAAGTATTTGATCCCCTGCTGATTTTGTACGTTTGCCCACTGACAAAGAAATGATCAGTCTATAATTTTTATGGTAGTTTTATTTGAACAGTGAGAGACAGAATAACAACAAAAATCCAGAAAAACGCATGTCAAAATTTTTTATAAATTGATTTGCATTTTAATGAGGGAAATAAGTATTTCACACCCTCTCAATCAGAAAGAGTTTCTGGCTCCCAGGTGTCTTTTATACAGGTAATGGGCTGAGATTAGGAGCACACTCTTAAAGGGAGTGCTCCTAATCTCAGTTTGTTACCTGTATAAAAGACACCTGTCCACAGAAGCAATCAATCAATCAGATTCCAAACTCTCCACCATGGCCAAGACCAAAGAGCTCTCCAATGTTGTCAGGGAAAAGATTGTAGACCTACACAAGGCTGGAATGGGCTACAAGACCATCGCCAAGCAGCTTGGTGAGAAGGTGACAACAGTTGGTGCGATTATTCGCAAATGGAAGAAACACAAAATAACGGTCAATCTCCCTCGGCCTGGGGCTTCATGCAAGATGTCACCTCGTGGAGTTGCAATGATCATGAGAACAGTGAGGAATCAGCCCAGAACTACACGGGAGGATCTTGTCAATGATCCCAAGGCAGCTGGGACCATAGTCACCAAGAAAACAATTGGTAACACTCTACGCCGTGAAGGACTGAAATACTGCAGCGCCCGCAAGGTCCCCCTGCTCAAGAAAGCACATATACAGGCCCATCTGAAGTTTGCCAATGAACATCTGAATGATTCAGAGGAGAACTGGGTGAAAGTGTTGTGGTCAGATGAGACCAAAATCGAGCTCTTTGGCATCAACTCGCCGTGTTTGGAGGAGGAGGAGGAATGCTGCCTATGACCCCAAGAACACCATCCCCACCGTCAAACATGGAGGTGGAAACATTATGCTTTGGGGGTGTTTTTCTGCTAAGGGGACAGGACAACTTCACCGCATCGAAGGGACAATGGACGGGGCTATGTACCGTCAAATCTTGGGTGAGAACCTCCTTCCCTCATGGGTCGTGGATGGGTATTCCAGCATGACAATGACCCAAAACACACGGCCAAGGCAACAAAGGAGTGGCTCAAGAAGAAGCACATTAAGGTCCTGGAGTGGACTAGCCAGTCTCCAGACCTTAATCCAATAGAAAATCTGTGGAGGGAGCTGAAGGTTTGAGTTGCCAAACGTCAGCCTCGAAACCTTAATGACTTGGAGAAGATCTGCAAAGAGGAGTGGGACAAAATCCCTCCTGAGATGTGTGCAAACCTGGTGGCCAACTACAAGAAACATCTGGCCTCTGTGATTGCCAACAAGGGTTTTGCCACCAAGTACTAAGTCATGTTTTGCAGAGGGGTCAAATACTTATTTCCCTCATTTAAATGCAAATCAATTTTTGACATGCGTTTTTCTGAATTTTTTTGTTGTTATTCTGTCTCACACTGTTCAAATAAATCAACCATTAAAATTATAGACTGATCATGTCTTTGTCAGTGGGCAAACGTACAAAATCAGCAGGGGATCAAATACTTTTTTCCCTCACTGTATTTATCTTATAACTTGTAAAGTGTAAATTAAAGTAGGAGTCTCGGAGCATCGTAGCACCATTAGGTGCAGAAACTCCAGTCGCGGACCAATTTTTGGAAGCGAACCACTCGATTTCGTCCCTACGTTATATTGGCATCGAACACGACACCCTCCCTAGGAGAGGGGGTGATCTTGACAATTTATTGTTAAAACGAGAGGCTGCCTGGATCTTTAATTTAAAGACCCTTGCTCCCTTCGGACTCAACGTAGACTTTGATCTGAAGCCATTCTTGTGATTTTGCTATTCATTGTAAATGTTTGTGGGCCTATGTAACCAAATTGTATCTATGATCTTATGCTATCCATTTATGTTTTTTATGTTCTATTTATATCTGTAGATTAACCAATGATGTCAAGCCACACCCAGCCATGATTACAGACACCTGTGTGTGTCCTTTGACACTATATAAACTAATGACCCACAGTGTTTGTCATTATACCCTGATGAATACAGCTTGTCTGTTGAAATGTTAGTTATCAGGTTATTAAATGATTGCATCCTAGAGTGCTGCTCTCCTTTTCTTTTTCTAGTGTTCTACTCTGCTAGCCAGCACCTCTCCTAAACAGGTGTTCTACTCCGGTAGCCAGCACCTCTCCTAAACAGGTGTTCTACTCTGCTAGCCAGCACCTCTCCTAAACAGGTGTTCTACTTTGCTAGCCAGCACCTCTCCTAAACAGGTGTGCGTTTCTTTCGCCTCCAGGTCCGTCACAGAAACCCATTTCCCTCAGAGTGAAGCATGATCTCCGGATGATCAGAGTACAGCTGGACTGTGAGAGTGGAAGTCTGTCTTTCTCCGACCCAGTCAACGACAAACACCTCCACACGTTCACACACAACTTCACCCAGAGAGTCTTCCTATGTTTCTACAATCTGCATGAAGACACTGACCACCCTTTGAAGCTGGTACCAGAGTACATCTCTGTATGTGTGGAACCTCATCTATATTGACCTCCATAGCTTACTATTTTCAGAATTCTGAGTTCTATGTTCCTCAACAAGTCATTCAGATCAGCACTGTTTATTTTCAGATAAACATTTGCTGCGTTTCCTTCTGCCTGTTTTCATTGTGTTTCTGAATAATATAAAAACAGTTTTAGATTCTAAAAATGATGTGCAAGTTGTTTTTCTTTTCACTTCAGAGGCAGGGTCTATACCTGCCCATAAACGCAATGTGTTTCTCTGTATAAATAGTCTACTACAAGTTTTAATGCAGATAGAGTAAAACTGTTTAATGATAGGCCTACATTAGAAATTGTAGTGAAACAAAATGATTTCTTCCATTTATACTTTATTTTTCTATTTACATGGGGGGGAGGGGGGGAGGAACACACACGCTCAACCAATCAAATTCGTGTTACACTTCTTGGAAGGAGTTGAGGGGAAAAAACTATGTGTGCGCTTACCGTGAATGAGTACAGTTCACAAACAAATGCAGACCGTTAATATATTAGGCTATGGTCTTTGATATACACATGTTATGTCCCAGAGACCCTCTGGACCATTGTCATAGTCCTGGAAGGCCGACGCCGCTCTTTCCATAGTCAATAAATCCATTAATTCCCTTAACCAAATGTCCATGCTGAAGCACTGCGGTTTACGCTCTTTTGTTTGTTTGACTGATAGGAAGGCCAGTGCAATGATGCATTGCATGGTTCTAGGTTGGATACGGTCCACCCTACCTCCTAGCAGGCACACTACAGGACAAAGTGGGATACATACATTCAAAATTCCAGATTTTTTTTTTGTGTTAGTTCCATATCAGTAAAAAACAAGGAGGTGTTATGTCAACCAGAGAGTCTTGCCTTAACACACTAGAACTCCTAGTACATAATCTAAATTTACCTGGATTGTAATCACAGTTGTGGAGTAACAGGTTGGGTAGGTTACTTTCCAAATGTAATCAGTTACTAGTTAACTGTCAAATTGTAATCAGTAACGTAACTTTTGGACTACCCAAACTCAGTAATGTAATAGGATTACTTTCCTCTTAAAATGCATTAGAAGAAGACAAAAATGAATTTTACCAATAGACATCTATTGCAGGATAAATCAATGTTAGTGTTTACATAGCTGGATATAAATGGGTTTTGCATTTTACTTATGGTTATGTAGGCTTCTAACCCATTGCTTTCTACTTCAATACAGATAATACGATTAAGCTATGTTAAAACCCAAAGTCTTGTCAGATTTCCAGTCATTCCAATTACTTAAATACCTCTTGGTCTTCAAAGGGTGTATCATAATATGCTGCTGCTACTCTGTTAATTATTTATGCATAGTCACTTTAACTCTACCCACATGTACATATTACCTCAACTACCTCAACTAGCCGGTGCCCCCGCACATTGACTCTGCACCGGTACCCCCCTGTATATAGCCTCCCTACTGTTATTTTATTTTACTTCTGCTCTTTTTTTCTCAACACTTTTTTGTTGTTGTTGTTTTATTAAGTAAGTAAGCATTTTTTGTTGTTGTTTTATTAAGTAAGTAAGCATTTCACGGTAATGTCTACACCTGTTGTATTCGGCGCATGTGGCAAATAAAATTTTATTTTATTTTATTTGATAATAGTGGCCTCTGACTTGGCAGAATTGCTCAGGTGGAAAAACGACATTAAACTTGCGCCTTTTTCAATGCTGATTTGAATGTAATTGAGAACTGAAAAGTGTCAATGTATTTTTTCCCTGCAAAACATCCTTTCTGAATTTAAAAGTAATCCTAGAAGTAATCATGTAGTTGTTCAAAAATATCTGTAATCTGATTACTATATTACATGACAGTTTGTTTTTTGTAATCAGTTAGATGGGGTCATGTAACGGATTACATGTAATCAGTTACTCCTAAACCCTGATGACGAGCCAGGTTATTTCAGATTACGCACTAGGAGGAGTTCTAGCGTGTTCAGACAATATTCTCTGGTTGACACAACACCACCTTGTTTTTTACTGATGTGGAACTAAAACACCAGTTATTTCACTACTTAGTTCAAATTTGGTCAGTCCTGCTAATAATTAACAAATACAATGGCTAGACGAAAGGTGGATATTCTTCCTGTTGGACATCTCCGACGTCTCCAAATGTTGCGATGGCAAGGCACACGAAAGCCAATCTGTTTGAAACTGAAGCATTTATCGGAGAAATAAGTACCGGTAATTGGCGACTGAATGGGCTTCAAGGTAATTTAATGATTTAAAAGGTTTTTGAGGTTAGTGAGCCTAGTTCTATGAAATTCAGGTAACTGCCAAAATAAAGGAAACGCCAACATAAAGTCTTAATAAGGGTGTTGGGCTACCACGGTTGGTAGTATTGTCAATCCTGTTCAGAGACAATACTACCAACCAACACCAGAGACCCTCACCCCAGCAGAGACGACTGTCCCCAACCCTAACTAGACCTATGCCCCTCCGCCCTGTAGTGGAGCCCCCTCTCCCCTGGCTGAGCACACCACCTCTGCCCCATCCAGCATCCATTATGGAACTCACAACATCACCCTCAAAGCTCCATAGAGGAGATTGGAATCAGTGCCACCATGAATGAAAATATCAGGAATACTATGATTCCCAGTATGTCAGATAGCCCATTGGGTCTGAGTAAAGATACTTGGAGCTCTTTGAGTGCCCCTGAGCCAAATGGCTGGTTAAATCTGGATCTAGACTGCTGACTGTTGAGGGTCAGGGTGGCAGGTAGACTAGCGGTTAGGAGCATTGGGCCAGTGAACGAAAGGTCGCTGGTTCGACGTGCCCTTGAGCAAGCTACTTAAACCTAATTGCTCCTGTAAGTCGCTCTGAATAAGCACGTCTGCTAAATGACTAAAATGTCAATGTTAAATGTCTGACCTGGAAGTGTGGACCTGAATGTAGAAGTCTGCTGAGGAGCAGACAATACAGCAAGGGGTCTACACACTGTCAATACTGGACGAGGAAGACGCGTACAGTTACACCCTGGACCTGAACAAGGAAGATGCCAGCCATCAGTCAGTATGTTCTGATCAGCACTAGGGCTGGGAACTGCCAGGGACCTCACAATACGATATTATCACTATACTTAGGTGCCGATACGATTTGTATTGCGATTCTCATGATTCCATATATATTGCCATTCAATACTGTAATTTTATTGCGATTCGATGTTCCAAACATATTGCTCAGCAGATTTCTGCTGCAGAGGGACACGAGAGAGCCATGAGAAAACAAGTTTTGATCAGTCATAGAAATAAAAGAGCTGAAAACAAGATTGAGAACAAGCTTTGAAGGAAAATTACAGGAGTTTTGGTGCAGGTACAGCCAACTAGCACAAAAATAATATTGCGAAACTGTCAAATCAATATGCTATATCATCTGAAATAATATCCTGATATGTAACCGTATCTATTTATTTTCTTCCCCCAATCACCAACCAGCTCCATGGAGTAGTATCAGGATTAGAGCCGAAAGCGAGCAGCTTGGAGTCAAACCCACAGTTGGTATTAGAGCTGAATCAGAGGTGATAGAAGACAGTGAATCTGAATATGAGCCACAGTTTATAGAGACGTCAGTCACCCCGAGGAATGGTGCTGTTGAGCTGGAAGGAGAGGAGGGAGCCCAGTCTTAAGACAAGAACACTGGGCTGTATTCAGGAGAGCATGAACAGTACAGTGGCAAAGAACAGGAATATTGTAAGGGAGAAGTTAACTTCGAACAGGAGGAAGTAAAGGAGAGGAGAAGAAAGAACAGGAGGTTGTGAAGGAGGAGGATATTGAAAAGAAAAATTACAAATTACAGTGCCTGAGCAGGGGAGGCTGGAGTTCAGGGATGCAGGAGAGAGACAGAGGAGAACATAGATGGCAGAGGTTGGAGAGACGTTGGTTGTGAAGGAAGAGGTGAGTACAGAGGACTTTGGAGAGGAGGAGAATAAGGAGGGTAAAGAAGAAGAAGAAGAAGTTGAGAGGGAGGACGAGGGTATAGAGGAAGATTATCTCAGTGAGATCACAGGAAGAGATGGTACAGGACAGAGACAAGGAGCGGGAAGAGATAAATGAAGAAGTGATAGCAGGAGAGATTTTTGAAGAGGAGGAAGAAAAGGAGGAGGAAGAGGAAAAATACAAGGAAGACATTGGACAGGACAGAGACAACAGGGAAGCAGGAGGAAATAGACACAGTCCCTGATCAGGAGAGGGCAAAGTTCACGACAGAGGAGGCAGATGGAGTAGTGTAAGATGGTGCCAGAGAAATGGTAGAGATTACAGAGAGGATGGTTGTGGAGGAACAAACAGCTATGGAGGAAGAAGTCAATGCAGATGAAGAAAGAGGAGGAGGAGGTTGTGAAGGAGGAGGAGAAAGAAGAGGATGAAGTTGTGAAGGAGGTCGAAATAAGATAAAGTTGTCAAGGAGGAGAAAGAGGAAGAGAAAAAGCAGGATGAAATTGTGAAGGAGGGGGAGAGAGAGGCGGAGAAAGAAGGTAAAGTTGTGAAAGAGGAGAAGGATGAGAAAGAGGAGGATGAGGTTATGATGAAGGAAACTAAATAGACAGACAGAAGAGGGTGAAGTTGTGAAGGAGAGGGAGGAAACAGAGGGAGGCACACAAGGAGGCAGTATGGAGGATTGGGACACAAATCCTTCTCATCAACAAAGTGACTTCACTCTTTCCAGAAAAATAGATGTCTGCAAACAGTGGCAATTCACAGGCATCCTGGTGTGTTCATCTAAAGTGAATATTCTTTACTCTGAACATTACATAAACATTGCAATTGTCTCAGGGCGTTGCCATCAGTCAATTCTAGGTCAATTCTATCAATCAGTCAAACTTTATTTATAGAGCACATTTCTTACAGAAGATGCATTACAAAGTACTCAACAAATAAAATAATAATTAATATTTTCTAAAAGAGACAAATTAAAATAGTAAAACAATAAAATAAATGGACCTGAGAGACTAATGCTTAAAATAAATAAGATATATAGAAAAATAGA